TCGAAAGGTATATCACCAGATCCGGAAAAAGTTAGGGCAATGCAAGTATATCCAGTACCAAAAGACGCTAAAAGTGTAAAAAGATTCGTGGCTTTTGCGAATTACTACAGGAAATTTATACAAAACTTTGCGGAAATTTGCTACCCTTTGAATCAACTTACGAGAAAAAGTATAAAATTTCAGTGGTCACCAGAATGTCAGCATTCATTTGAAACATTAAAACAAATACTTACAAACCCACCCATATTGCAATATCCTAATTTTTCAAAAGAAAGTAAATTCATATTACGAACTGATGCATCGAAATTCGCATTAGGGGCAGTTCTATCAAATTTTGATGACAGACCTGTAGCTTATGCGAGTAGGTCATTAAATAAGGCAGAGAAGAATTATGCTACCATAGAAAAAGAGTTATTAGCCATAGTTTGGGCTGTAAAACGGTTTAGACCTTATTTATATGGAACTAAATTTTTAGTATACACGGATCATAGACCATTAATTTATTTGTTCGGAATGACTAACCCATCCAGTCGTTTAACTAAATTTAGACTCATTTTGGAGGAATATGACTTTACAGTTCATTATGTTAAGGGCAGTGATAATGTAACAGCCGATGCACTCTCAAGAATCCAAATTGAGTCAGATTTATTGAAAGAAATGACCTGTCAATCTATAAACGTAATGACTAGGGCACAAAGCAAGGTAAAAAAGACGGAGATAAAAAATGGTTTAACCCACGAAGGGACTGATCACCCTGGAGTGGTAGAATTATTAAAACCTCCCGAAAATTGTGCAGAGTTGCAAATTATTCATAGACAAGAATTAGATGCAATGTTAAACAAATTTCGAGACAAACACAACAATAAAAATGTTAAAGTAAATGAGAATGTGCATTATAATGTAAGTGATAATATCATATATCTGAAACAAGATACTCGATCAGCGTTCGCACTAGATGCATCGTTGAGAGACTTGAAAGAAGTATGTGAGAAATTTAAAATTCCGGAATTAATAATATTAAAAAATGAACAAAATGCACAAATATTAAATAAAATCTTGAGAGCTCCAAGTAGAATAAAAAGTTTAGGTATTAAAATTTCTATAATTAAAGGACAAAAAAAAGTTACAAGTCACGAAATTAAACAATTAATTTTGAACGATTTTCACATGCTACCCACAGGAGGGCACGCTGGTATAAATCGTATGTTTAATAATATTCGTAAATACTATTTTTGGAATGGTATGAAAAAGGATGTCGAAAATTTTGTAAAACGATGCGATGATTGTCAAAAATGTAAGTATTCTTTAAATAAAAAACAACCTATGAAAGTCACTACTACAGCAATGACAGCTTTCCAAAAGGTAATGCTTGATCTGGTAGGGCCACTAGAAAACGACGAAGATAATAATCGTTATATTCTAACCCTGCAATGCGAATTAAGTAAATTCGTAGAATGTTACCCGTTACCAAATAAAGAAGCAAAAACGGTGGCAAAGGCGTTTGTGGAAAATTTTATATTGCGGTACGGAATTCCTCAGGAAATCCTAACTGACCAAGGCACAGAATTTACAGCTTCAATATTCCAAGAGGTTTGTAGTTTATTAAAAATAAATTCATTAAGATCGACGGCATATCATCATCAAACTCTAGGCGCTTTAGAAAATTCACACAAGAATTTAGGTTCATTTTTACGAATTCAAGCGTTAAACAATCCAACTCAGTGGAGTACTTGGTTACCATATTGGAGTTTCGCGTACAATAACACAGTGCACACTGAGACAAAATATACACAATTTGAACTTGTATTTGGGAAAATTGGTATACTACCTTCTAATTTAATCCAAGAAATAGATCCTCTATACAGTTTCGACAACTATCCGTTAGAATTAAAGTACCGTCTACAAACTGCAAATGCAGACGCGAGAAAAAATTTAATTGCATCAAAAGTAAAGCGGAAACAATATTTTGATAAGAAAAACCATTGTAAATCTGTTAGCTATAAGATAGGAGATAAGGTGTTATTGAAAAACTGTGGCGAAAACAATAAACAGAAAGCGATATTTAAAGGACCCTACAAAGTGATAGAAAATAAGGACTCTAATGTAGTTATAAGAATAGACAGCAGGTTAGTTGAAGTGCATAAAGATAGAATTAAGTTTTATTATGGATGAAAAAAAAAGGATTTTTTTTTCTCAATGGAAAAAAATCTTTTTTTTCCTTTTCCGTGGGAGGTGTAATGGATTAATTTTGCAAATACTAAAGAATGTGTTTGGATTGCAATAGTGAGTCCAATACACTTCCTGCTGCCAGTCAAATGGCAACGAACCTATAGAATTAGTTTAGTAAGCAATAATATAATAAGTAATATAGTTTTAGTTAAAATAATGTTTAATTAGTTTTATACAATAATGTAGACATGACCGGTCGTAAATAAAGTAGTTAATGGGAATTGGTAGTGTTTTATCATCAAACACCCTTCACACATTACAGACGAAATAATAAATTCCCTAATTGTTCATTTCTTAACATTAATCCGTGGGCGCCCGCTAGTGCTAAATAGCATTTCGCCCACGGGCTTAAGTTAAATTTTAATTACGGAAAAACACTTAAATATGCATTTATATTCAAAAACGTTTACTTTTATAAAAATACGAGCCCTAATAATAACAATAGCCAACAAGAAAAAACACAATTGGGTTAAATTTAACCCAATTGTGTTTTTTTTCTAACGCAGCATAATCAAGTAAACAACCAAAATACCTCGATGCACTTAATGACTAAATGCGGCAAAAGTGAAACACCACTAAATCCACCAATTAGGACCGCGCTGGTCACCTTCAAATATCTCTATCACGCGTTTCAATTGTGTTTCTATGGTCCGTCTGTTAAATATAAAAAACTATACACTAAGCTATTCTGTGTCCTAGTATTTTTTGCAATAAAATAGTTCAAAATATATACAGGGACAATGACCAAATAAACTTAAAAAATAAATACAATTTAAATATCTTTATTTCATAATTCTCTGAAAATGGCATATTTTAAATATAAGTCAAACCACAAAAAATACTTTTCGAAATTCCGCACCGTTTTTATTGTTTTTAGGCACCTACAAACTTTACAACATTTAAAAGAACTTTACGATGAATATTTGCAAGAAAACTTAATTTTTAATAACAATTATTTAAATTATTTATATCTTCTAGGCCTACCATTGCAGTAAAACTTTAAAAAAATGTACACTGTCTTCTTTTTTTCGTGTTCCAAAAATAATTGTAATTGCATTTTTTATCGGTCCGTGTATCGTTCGCCATGGACCTACACAAGGAGTCCAACTTAATAGGGAAAATTGACAAAACCGGCCCACTAAATGAAACAAATTTGGTTTTTTACCACCAGCGGCGCTGATTGTCTGCTATTTTGGTGCGGTTTCGGTACAAATCAAACAATCAACGGAACACCAGCGCCTTCTTATTTTAGGAAGCTATTTGTATACATGAAGTTCGGACTCCGTGTGTAGGCTCCATGAGCGCGAAGATCCTGAGATTCGTGCGCTAAAAATTACTGGTACTAAAAATTTTTATTAAAAATAAGTGTTTTTTTTGTTTAGTTATCTACAGATTTTTATAATTATCTTTACTTTCTAAAAAATAAATAAAACTTCATTGATACATTTGACATGGCTTGACTCATATGATAATTCGTATTTAGAGATATTGGAATTCAACAAAATTACTTTTTCAGGGCTGGCTCCAGCGCATTTGGCGCACTGTGCAAAATTTTTATTGCGTTCCATGTATATATCTCATATTGGTATCTTATATACTTCATATGCAACATTAGGGCCATAAAGAGAGTGTTTCAATCCAAATCAGCAACTTTTGGACCCAACCCCTTTTCATTTGACTGAAATTTTGATATTCTGTATTACCCCACTAAAATCGTTTCTGTAGGCTTTTTACCCAACCAAAAATTTAAAATTAAAAAAAAATGGTGCTGACTTGAATATAATTTAATTTATAAACTAGACTTTTCTTTAATTTTTAAAACACGCCTTTCTTTATTCTTTTTTAAATTTTTTAATGCTTTAAGCTGCAAATCTCATGGTGGAGCAACTTTTCATTTTTTTTTAATTCAAAATTTTTTTGGCAATTTAGCTTTGTTTTTGTAATAAAAAAATCAAAAAAAAAGTTGACCCAATACGGGATTTTGGCAATAAATAGCAAACTAAATTAAAATGGCAAATTTGTTTTTTTCTGAAAAAAAGAAAAATTTCACGAATAATTATAAAAAAACGTCTGGATAAGTCAGTTTTTGAAAAAGTAAAAAAGGCGTTTTACTGGCGTAGGGCCGTAGCCAGGGGGGGCGAATCAAGGCGCCCCCTGACAGGTAAAATCTTAAACTAAAATTTAATATATTTTTTAACATAGTGGTATAAGAAATAATTTAAAAACTATCCCTATTAGGGATTCCTTAATATTTTATAAAAGAGCAGCATATGGGACATTTCACGCCAAATCGACAACTTTTGAACTTGACCCCTTTGACTGAAATTTACTACCCTACCAAAAACGTTTCAGTGAATGTTTTAAAAATTTTTACCCACCCTAAATTATACAAGTAAATGGATTATTTTATAAATAAATATGTTTTACAGGTTTGTGAAATCATCATCTCATATTTATATATTATATGCAATATTCATGCATCAAAAAAGTTAAAAATAAAAAAAATAATATTTTTGGTTTAAATTCAACAAAAATACTAAAAAGAGTAAAAGTATACATTTTGTTTTAAAGGAGTGTGACATTTACACAATCATATTTTAATTACAGATATATTTAAATATACAGAATAAGTTTAAATCATGTTAAAAAAGTGTTTCAAATTGTGGATTTAACCGTTATTACTAACGGAAAATAATCAAATTTGAAAAAAAATATTTTTATTTTTTTGGTCACACGAAATTCGTCAAAAGTGAACCACGTTTTATATTTACCTCATCCAAACCAGCAGGGCAGTACCTAAGTTGTTCCATAAGCTCCATAATTAAATTGGTCTTTAATTGACTTCTTAGCATTGATCCCAATACTGTATTGGAATTGCCAATCTTAAAAAACGCCACTGATATTTGCTGTGACAAATTTTCGCACCAATTTTTTGTTGGGCAAAAAATTAGTACAGAGCATGACTCTTGTATAGTTTCCAAACAAAGTTGTAAAATATTATCAGTATCAGTTCCTAAATCGGGTAAAGGCTGCAACTTTCTTATTAACTTTAAATTATTATCATAGATCTCTCCACAGACATGTGCTTGTTCTAATAAAGGTATAGGTCTGAAGTCGGTTGTATAAAGTTCTGCATCCAGCCACTTTGCAAGGTAACTTAAATTTGGTAGTGTAGCAGACATCCCTACTATTTGTATGTTCACATTTTCATCTTTCTGTGAAATATACTTTAATTTTGTTAATAGTAACTCAAGTAGATAGCCTCTGCTAGGGTCACCTAGTAAATGCATTTCATCCACTAAAATGGCTCCTATGTCGGAGAGTTTTCCTTCTTCCAAAAGCCTATTGATAAGGCTGTTTGCCTTTTCTATAGTGCAAATTGCTACTTGTACTGTCTGAAATCCTCCTGGTGGGTTATATGACCCCATAAATCCCTCACATCTAATTCCACTACTTCCTAATATATCCTGAAAGTAATACATCTTCTCCCTTACTATTGATACAAACGGTAATATAAAAATAACTTTCTTTTTTCTTTCAAAAACTGTTTTTATTGCCAATATTTCTGCTATTAGAGTTTTTCCTGCTGATGTAGGGGCAGAATATATTAAGTTAGCAGTTTCATTCATCACCCTTGTATTGCTAAGGCATTCTACCTGCCAGGGAAACATGCTAATTACTTTTCTGGATTTATATTTTAGTAAAACTGCTTCTGGTAGTCCCCAAGATTGTAATTTTGTGCTTTCCTCATTCATAACATTTTCGTTTTGTATTTCAGGTATTAATTTTGTGCTTTTCATGTTCACAATATTTTTAGTTTGTATTTCAGGTGTTAGTTTAGTACTTGTGCTTGGATGTGAAGAATCGATAGGATTTATTTGTTTAGAATTACTGTTAGCATTAAAAAGCCTACATATTTTTTCTTCTATACTTGTATTAAGCTCTTTTAAACCTTTTTCAGCCTCTTTCTCCATTGTCGACAAATTATTATCAAAATTACTTGTATTATTTAAATTAATGTGATCAACTTTGTTTTTAGTAGAAATATGTGGTATGTTAACATTTTTAGCTTTTATTGGATTTGGTGTTTTGAACACTCTACTTTCCAGTTTATCAAAAATTAAGGGTGTTTTTATATCCCTAGTTACAGAGTTATTGTCTTGACAACTTTTTTTAATTCTAATATTAATACTATTATCTTTGACTTTAGGACTGATTTCTCTTTTATTAGTATTAGTATTTTCAATATGATTGAAGCTATTGGTTTCATTATCTTCTATTATAAACTCTGGCAAACTTTTAGGTGACTCATCTTGTGTTATATCTTGTGTAAAAGTATTAGATAAATCTGCATCTATATTTAAATCTATCATATTGTTGTTAACATTAATTTTAGTTTCCGTAAAAGACTTTTCTACGTTTATAATTCCTTCTTCCTTGAAGGAATTTAGTAAAAATTCGTTTTCCAAGCATCCTGCTAAAGTTTGTGATATACTATAGTCTACAATTTGTTTCTCACTATTTATAACCTTATTATCCAATAAATCGTCTATTGTTTTAACTTCTGGCGTATTTGCAAAAAAATCCTCAGACTCTCCATCATTATTTTCTTCTATACAAGACTCAGATAAAAATAGTGTATCATCAAACAAAATTTCCTGTGAATTGTTGTTTACACATTTGCCATCTTTGTCATCATTTGAAAAGTACTGTTCAGTTTGAGTAAATCTAAGATTATCGAATGTATCGTTCATAAAAACATCATTATTCATTCTAATTTAAATACAATCGTTTAAATTATAAACTAATTTGTTTATAGGTTAAGTTTGACATTGACAGTTATGAAAAATCTACATCGAATCCATAGACGTCTATTATCGAACCCAATAACATTATTGCATCGAATTTTCATTAGATAAAACGATCATTAATAATGTGATGTTGTCAAGTCTTACCGTTTTTATTAGTATTGGGGATTTACAGTATTGTGTGAACACAAATAGATTTACGTTAAATATTATTTATTGAAAAGAAAAATTACGAACAGTACTATTTTATAAATAAATATTTTAGTAAGTATTATTTATTAGAGAATAGGTCTCCCTTTTGGCCTTTATTAAAGCTTCAACTCGTTTTGGCATATATCCATACAAAAAATGTATATTCAATATTTTTTTAAGTCAAAACATAAGTATACTTATCATATAAGTTTTTGTTTTTTTTCGGTGCTCAAGCAAAATATTAATCTGCATATAGAAAAAAAAAATTCTCAACAAGTTTGAGCTCTTAATATCAATTTTAAGTACTTACTATTTAAATTTAAAGTTTTACCGTTTAAAATGCATGTAAAAAATATTTTACAATTTTACAAATCGGTTTGATGGACCTTGTGGGGAATTTCACGCTCTTCAAAATTGCTTTAAAGTTTTTTTGTGCACATGTAACTCGCATTGGTTCATCTGTAGGAATCGTCAAAGTACAGTTTTTGAAAAATATCGTTTTTTTTTAATTTTTTTCTAACAAACCGCCAAAAGTAGGGAGAAAAAATGTCTGACTCATAAAAAAAGTTATCCAACCAATATTTAATGAATTTACAGCCATTTTTATAACTGAAAACGTAAGAAATTGATAATTACCCACTCATAATGTTATTTAGATTGATTATTACACTAAAAACTTTTTTAAAATTATTGATTTCTCACTTATAATGAATATGAAAACAACAGATAAATTCATAAAATTTATTTAATAAGTTGTAACGTGGATTTTGCAATTTTTCAACATTTCTGTCATATATATAGCAAAAAAATGTAAAGGAAGATTATTTAATTTTTTGAAGCGAAATTTGGAATATGTTACATAATAATATAACCTTCTGTATATTCCGATTAAAGTTTTGTTGTTTTTTTTTATGTGTTGTTTTCATATTCATTATGAGTTACATAATAATATAACCTTCTGTATATTCCGATTAAAGTTTTGTTGTTTTTTTTTATGTGTTGTTTTCATATTCATTATGAGTGAGAAATCATAATAATTTTAAAAGAGTTCTTAGTGTAGGGAAATATAATGATAATAAATAGAAAAAATCAATCTAAATAACATTATGGGTTGATATTTATCAATTTCTTACGTTTTCAGTTATAAAAATGGCAGTAAATTCATTAAATATTGGTTGGATAACTTTTTTTTTATGAATCAGCCCTTTTTTCTCACTACTTTTGGCGATTTGCTCGAAAAAATAAAAAAACGATTTTTTTCAAAAACTGTCCTTTGACGACTCCTACTGGTGAACCAATGCGAGTTACAAAAAAAAACTCAAAAGCAATTTTAAAGAGCGGCGCCCCTTTAAGAGGCTGAAGCTTTCTTGGGGCCATTTTCCAACCTATGTTTATAAGATTTCCTATTTTCGTCTTAGAAACTACGTGTAGAGTATTGCACACTATTTTCGTATAAACTTCTTTGTTTTTATGTAAACAAAAAAGTTACAAGTTGTAATTTCCAACCAAAAATGCTACTTTTTTGTCGCAGAAAATATTTGCGCGCTTTGTCCCTTGACTTTTACTAGGACAATATGCAATTACAACTTGTAATTTACAATTTAATGTTCGGTTTTGGATTTTAAATATTTTTTTGCTTTAATTTATTCTTAATATACTTATGTGTTTAATTTATATAGACATCTATTTATTTTTCTTTTAAGATGAAAATGGGTCGGTTGGTCGCGTGTTACTGGTCGCACAATATCGATTCTGTATCGCCAATATGCGTATCGAAATCGCCGATAAGCGTATCGATGCATCCCTATTTTTTTGGTATTAAATTTGTTGTTTTAACTTAATATTTACTTACCTTATATTATTAAACGCAAGGCTCTATTTAAAGCTGAACGCGTTCCGGTACCTCTGTCCTGTGCTTTTTTAATGCTTTCATAACTTTACTACAATACCTTTTTGTACCTACTTTGTTTGCAGAATAAAATTAGGATGAAATAAAATATAGTTTTTATAACCAAATCTTCCACGAGTTTAGGCACCTCTTTTTTTAGAAATTGAGCACTGATTAAAGGTATTTTTTTAAGGTAAACACTGTATTGAAATGCTTGATTTTTATTTATAAAAAAAATAATGTTTTATAGTTCAAACAGAATAATGTTAAAAACAAGACATACATATAAATAAGAATAATGTATTTAAAACAAAACTTTACAAAAAGCTACAATATATAATAAAATTTATAAAAAAATAGCAAAAGCTGTCTATCTATTTATGGTGAAAAATTATATTTTAAGCATAATGCTAAACAGATTACCAATTTGAATAATTAAATTTTCATATTTAATAAACAATATACATTATAAATTTTCTTTGGCAAATAATAAATAACATTTATAAGAGAGACCATGCCTCATTCAAATAATCTTCTAGGTAATTTTTAAAGATTTTTAATCCAATGAGTCTTCTATTGCACAAACTTTTGTGAATCCGCCAATTCTATCCAAAAAATTGTTCATTCTGGGGCTTTCCTACACACATGCAAGTAAGAGATCATTAGTTTTCATATAACAACAATGGTACAGTTAATTATTTTGCAGTTAATATAAATAAATCTAATTAATCACAGAGCATCATTACATTTTTCTCAATTATTAATTAGAGTTGCTAACATTCCAAAAAAATTTAATAACATGCATATAAGTATTTTATTATTAATTTTTTCGTAGGTACTAGTTTTATTACTTAAAATTTTAAAAATGTTAGTTGTATGCCTTATAGTCATACAAGAGTCCCTTTGTTTCTAGAGTTGGCCAAAGTAGGCAGCAGAATTCAAATATAAAAATTTGCATGACAGTAATGTTACTGATAAAATTAGGGTATCTGTTATTTCCCAAGTTGGCTTTTTTCACTTGGGTCTCATCTGTATTATTTGTTGTGTAAAAATCCGATGCCGTTTAACCCTGAATAAATTACATTTTAATGACATTATTGTGGTTTTCTTAAAACCATCCATTTAAATATCAGAGGTCAAAGTTTAAAATAAATAAATAAATTAAAAAAATATTTCACTTAAATTATTTGCGCACAGTTCATAAATCTCGTAACGATGGAAAAGGGGAGGGGATGTTTAAAGAACCGTCACGCCCAAGGGGGAGGTTTTTTTTTAAACGTCGAATTAAATTATTTTTTTCCATTTTTAGTCAGACTATTTTATCCAGTACATAAAAAAATAGGGGAAGGGTGACATGGGTGGGTGACAATTTTAAAAAATTTAGGCGTCACGAGATTTACAACGGCCTCTCTAATATTACATTTTATACCAGGGGGAAAAGGATTTTCTCCGCTCACATATTATTGCCGAGCATACATTCCACTGCGGAGGCGATAGCCAAGGCAGTAGATTGTGTGCAAGGCCATTAATAAGCTTTCGCCGCCGGGTCTTATATATATTTTTTCAAGCATTTAATTAAATTATTTCTTAAAATTCTGTTACAATATTTCATTAATAATAATTTGACTTTTGAACTAGTAGTATTATAAAGTCTTTCTATATACACTAGGGTGAGCCAAAAAAACTAACCTATCGGATTTATGGGTTAAAATGAACCTACATACCGAGCAAAAAAGTTCCCTGCAAGGCAAAATTTTTTGCTCAATTTTAAAAGGTGTCGGTGAGCATTCTAAGTTTTCCATTGAAATAACACGTAAAAAAATCTTTTTTCATTAAAAAGACTATAACTTTTGAACCGTTTGAGATAAAAATTTTTACGTCGCGGATTCTTGTAGAGCATAAAATTTCCCAAAGAATCTATACCAGGATTATTTTTTTTAAATCAAAAATTCGTATGTTTGAAAGCTTTGAAAAGTGTAAAAAATCACTACAAACTGCAGTTTTAGTGATTTTTTACACTTTTCAAAGCTTTCAAACATACGAATTTTTGAATTAAAAAAAATAATCATGGTATAGATTCTTTGGGAAATTTTATGCTCCGCGACGTAAAAAATTTTATCTCAAACGGTTCAAAAGTTATAGTCTTTTTAATGAAAAAAGATTTTTTTACGTGTTATTTCAATGGAAAACTTAGAATGCTCACCGACACCTTTTAAAATTGAGCAAAAAATTTTGCCTTGCAGGGAAATTTTTTGCTCGGTATGTAGGTTCATTTTAACCCATAAATCCGATAGGTTAGTTTTTTTGGCTCACCCTAATATACACTTATGAGTCTTATAAAATGAAGAACATTGTACGCTTGACTCTGCCTTAATGATTTTTTATTTTTTTTAAACACAAGAAATATTTTTGTAGAACAATTTCCTCTCTAGAAAAAAGGACCTACTTTTTTTCGTAAAACTATCCATTAAATCAGTGGTTCCCAAACTTTTTCCTAAGATGGCCCCTTAATTTTCTATATCATGAAAAGTTTACGCCCGCCTGATAAGAACTCTAACATTTATATTTATTTATTTTACAAAAAAAACACCCTATAATAACCCATAATTATTATACCCATTATCGCTTGTTCCCTTGTCCTTTGTCTCAAAACATGTTCTTTGCGTTTGTACCCACGCGAACGAGACATTATGCGTCCGGTCGGACTTGGATTTGCAAGCACTGCAGTGCACTGTATATATTTTTAGCAACTAAATATTTTTTTTCAATTTTTGTTAATCTAAATTTTTGGTAAAAAGTTTGAAATAAATAAAAATAAAAAGTATTGTCATTTAAACATCGAAAATAAATATATTTTTAGACTGTAATCAAATAATTTAGATGATGCCCAACTTAGATTCTGTCAAAAATAGTACATTATAGAGCATACACTTCACTAGCGAGTTGTACATTTTTTCTTATGTCATTAAATTGTCATTTAGACAGGGTTTAATGACATTGGTTATTTTTTCAAAATTGTTTTTAGACTGATTTAGATTATACCCAACTTGGAAAATAATGGACACCTTAGTAAACATTGTAAAAAAAAATATCCTAATACAACATAGATTTTTATCTCATTGGCCAGACTCTAGGAATAAATGGACACTATCCTACACTAAGTGCCGCATGCAAAAATTTATAGCAACAAAAAAAGCTGACCTGAAATTAAGAGATTGCGTAAGGCTGCCACAATGATAAAGCATAAAAAATGTATAAAAGTTGTACTTAGTATTAGTATTGCGCATCTAAGCCGGAACTGATTGTGAATTTTTATTCAGGTGGACAATTTCAAAAAAATAACAAATTTGACATGGTAAAAAGGAATTTAAAATTTTTTTAAAATGTCAAATTGCATTTTTCTTGAAATAATCTGGTGATTTTATTAAATGTTTGGGATAAAACTGGGATTTAAAAGGCACTTAGTAAATCACTTGTAAAACAAACCTTAAGGAAGAATAAGAATGATGTTTTGGAAGGTAAGTTATGTGCACAACAGTAAAACTACACCTAGAAAACGGAAATTAATTTAAATATTTGTTTATTAATTTTATAGACTTAATATATGATATTTCGCATGTAGGTATCTATTTTTTTATAATAGGTTCGTAAACGCTGTTTTTTAAACATTTGTTGTATATATAACATGTAAATAAAGTGACAAATGAAAAAATCTCATCTATACAACTTACAGATATTCATAGTCTATTATAAAGACAAATTGTTAAAAACCCTTGCCTTTCCTAAAATTTAAGAATTGATTTTTTTTACTTTTACAGCTAGAATTTAACTTTAAGTCAACAATTCATGAAGCCATCTCAAGCAAAGGTTTTCTTTTCTTTTTTATTTATATCAAACTCATTGATTTCACAGCCCCTAAAAACTAAGTGAGATTTAAAATACCCACTAAATTAATGTTACCTGTTTTAATTTTGTTCTTTTCATAATCTAAATACTTGTAAAAGATTTACTTTTAAAGATAATTTAAAATTTATTCTAACAATTTTTAACATACTATATGTTTAGTAATTATAAATTAAATAAAAACATATTCTTTACTACACAGCAGTAATAATTATCAAGTTTTTAAATTAAATATTACAAGGCAAATTACAGTTCTATATCTCTAAAATCAGGGTGTATCAGGATTTTGATTTAGATATAGTTAAGAGTTAAAACTAACACGAAATAATATGATTGCATTATGAAAAAGTTGAAATATTTTACATTTAAAATTTTAATACTGGTACAGGTCAAACAAGGGCTACAAAATCCTACAAAATAAAACATAAAAATAATTACGCTTCAAAGACAACAAAACTCAAAATTTCACAATGCAATTTTTACCATATAAATATAAATAAACAACCATTACAATAAATAATAAAATAAAATATACCCTCTATCAAATTTACAAAGTCCTATAGCTTTATCAATATAGGAGAAGCAAAGATTTATAGAGTGACATTATGGAGAAGAAGTTTTTAAGTCGTACTGACATTTATTTATTGTCGTTATTGGAAAAATTTAGTCACTCCACAGAATAATAGCCAGAATATCCACATTACGCCAAGAAAATTAAAGCAAATAAAGGTTTTGTTGTATGAATTTTTGTTAATTATTTTCATTATTACCTTTACAATAAAACTTTCATAAAATATTTGAAACAATTCCACTCTTGTCAATTTAAACCTGCTAAAAACTATAAAAAATACGGTTTGCTGACGAATAAAAAGGAAGGACCAGAAATGGAAGTGACCAAAATTGGCGAATATTTTTCTATTTACCTTCTATATAGTAACAAATGTATTATTGTATAGAGAAATGCCAAAGTGACACAAAAATGACTTAATTTATTTACTTGTGGAATTTTCTCAACAAATACCACTTGAGGTGTGATTAAGCAGGACTTTTAACTCAAACTTAGTAGTTTGTTAATTTGACTAAGAAATTTGAGTAAGAAAATCACTTGAGTTACCCTCTTGTGATTTTATCGCCCAAATTTCTTTTTGTCAAATTAATACGTCATTCCCCAAGTTTTCGTGAAAAGTCAAAAAATATCCGGCTAAATCGAACATCTAGTGGCATTACATATGACAATAATTTAAACAAAAAAATTAACTTTGTAAAGTTTTGGTACATCTCACCGTTGTTTAAGCACGCGCGCTAACTATATATACGACCGATGCGACGTTGTCAAATGTGTTATATGAAAGGAGAGACGGTTAGCACTCCCCTAGACAAGGATGGAATATAACACAAATATGGTTAAGGCACACTTAACCACATTTTTTAATGTAAAAATGAGATTTAAATCCAAATTTTCGACCAGCAACCCCTTGCAGCTTTTCCGAGATCTTGGATTTGTATTTTTGGTTTTATTGAAAAAACAGCCGTTACCTTTTTTGATAAGAAAAATAAGTTCTACAATTTTGAATATATTGCATATTTAACGAGTAATAACCGAATATCTTTTTTTATTAGGTCTTTTTATTCAAAATCGGCTTTTTTTATAAAATCAAAAATATAGTCGTTATTAAAAAATTAATGCAAGAACGCAAAAAAGCTGGAAGAGGAAACAAAAACTAGGATTTAAGCTTCCTATTTGGTCGCAGTAATACCCATACAAATCAAACTTTACTAGACTATTATTATTGGTTAGAATTAAATGGTAATAGTAAATGCAGAACATTGATTAAGGGTCACCACTTTTCCTCTACAGCAAAATTGATTCCCTTGATTTAATGCAATGTTATTACAAATTTAGCAAACTCTAAATATGTAATGATGAATCTACTTTTAATTTTTAAACTTGTTTTCTGTAATTCCGATGATGTTCTACTACTATTTTTTAAGTTCTTTTAAAGAAATATCTAATTGAACTCTTAAATATGTCAATAACAAATATAATAAATATCAACTTAAAAATTATGTTTAAAAAAAAATTGCATACAACAAGACTTTTTTTGCGATGAGCGAGCTAAAATAATTAATACCCCAGTAAAATAAATACATTTTACATATTGTGGTTATACAATTAGAAAGAACAGTTGGATTGAGTTCTTTGGAGAACATTTCCTTCATTCTTTTAATATTAAAATCAATTTCTTTAAGAAAAGTCTTCTATTGTAGAAGTATTTGGTGAAGAATATATTCTTGGTTCAATTTAATAAACTCAAATATACATTTACATCTATTTAGCGCTTTTGATTTTCATTAAACATGGTAAAATAATTTTTACAACTTGTTTAAATAAACAATTTCTAATAATTTAACCACAAAACATTAGCAGCTAGAATAAAATCCAGCAACAACACACAACCAACCAATAAATTAACAGCAAAATTGAAAAAGAGAACAGAGAGAGAACCCTACAACCCAAAAAACCCAAAAGTAATAAAAACCGCGAAGGCTTAAAGCACGCATGCGTAAAATACGCCCATCACGCGTCAACCAACGTCGGCTTCGCCGTTGAGCAGGTTGCGGTTATAAATCGCTTGTCTGTAACTGTACCTATTGATTGGCGGCGACGGCCGGTCCGGAATGGGCGGCGGCACGATGCCGCCAGCTGCACCCTCGATCACCGTCACGTTGGCAGTGGTGGCGGTCGTCGTCGTCGTCGACGTTTCGGAGCCGAAACCGCAGATGCCCATCGCCTCCTCCACCTCCCCTATGCTGTTCTCAGCCAGGCATGTCGTTCCTAGCTCGGTGTACTGAGATATCTTTGAGCGCAGCATGTACGAGTAGGTTTTGTAACGTTTTAGCTGAAAAATAATTTAAATTGCTTATTTGTCTATTACGTATAACAATTTCTAGAGTGACATTATATACAAGTTGTCCCTAAACTTGGTGGCATAAAGGGGGTAGCGGGTTAAGGGGGGTCTGGCGGCCAACACCGAATCTGGTAAAATCGTTCCAAAAATCTTGAAGAGGGTCGAAAAACAAGCAGTATAAGCTTTTTACCGACATTACAACCCCAAACGAAAACACAGTAATGGCGAAAAATATTATTTTTTGTGATTTTTATTTTTTCCAACCAGTTTAATTTATTTTTAAATGTTTTAAACGCAATTAAAAATTTGTTTTGGATGTATGGTAGTCCCCTGAATTTTTTCAGATTTTTTGGTCAAGTAAAAACATGTGAATTTTAGGTTTAAATGCGAAAAAATCGTGAAAAACGCGTAATTTTCAAGATTCAACCCTCTAATTTTTAGGGTTGTTTTCATTTTTCCGAGGGGTGCTGTATAGTATAGATAGCGGCAATCGTCCTCTTTTGAATGCAGGCAACTGGACTCAATTCTGGTGAGCGGGGCGATTTTTTGAAAAAAACTCGAATTTTCAACTTTCGGTAAATTACGGCGCGTACTTGGTATAATGCGTCTTTGCTATAAAAAATACATCTCTATAGAGGTTTTTGAGGTCGCTGATCACGAATTTTATGTCAAAAAAATTTTTTGACAACAAAGATATTTGTCGCGAATTATTCGTCCAGCACAGATTCTCACAAATCTTTTCTCTGTTCAAAGCGTTGAACATGTTATTGAAGAAGATAGTGACGAGGATTAAAACTGTAAAATTGTTAACTTAGCTCTGTAAAAAAGTATTATGCTATTTTATATTACTGTGTGACTATTACGTAAGCTTGAATAAAATATGATTTATACCAGAAAATTTAATTTCATTGATTATATTAGTTGAACACGATATTAAAATTGTTTAAATGCTGTGATTCAATGATATTTTTTACATTATCAAACCTGTGTTAATAAATATTTATGGGTGAATTTGTTGTCAAAAAAATTTTTTGACATCAACTTCGTTGGTTTTTTTCAAAAAATCGCCCCGCTCACCAGAATTGACCAAATTGAGTCCAGTTGCCTGCATTCAAAAGAGGACGATTGCCGCTATCTATACTATACAGCACACCTCGGGAAAATGAAAACAACCCTAAAAATAAGAGGGTTGAATCTTGAAAATGACGCGTTTTTCACGATTTTTTCGCATTTAAACCTAAAATTCACATGTTTTTACTTGACCAAAAAATCTGAAAAAATTCAGGGGACTACCATACATCCAAAACAAATTTTTAATTGCGTTTAAACCATTTAAAAATAAATTAAACTGGTTGAAAAAAATAAAAATCACAAAAATCATATTTTTCGCCATTACTGTGTTTTCGTTTGGGGTTGTAATGTCGGTAAAAAGCTTATACTGCTTGTTTTTCGACCCTCTTCAAGATTTTTGGAACGATTTTACCAGATTCGGTGGGGGCCGCCAGACCCCCCTTAACCCGCTACCCCCTTTAGAAAAAGATATGCAGGTTGTCCCAAAATTAAGGGGCCAAACTTAAACTGTGCAATCTGTATAGAAAAGTATTGTTTTATAAACATTTATATAAAAATGCCTGCTGCCCAAGCTACAGCACCCTAAGGACAATCCTAAGAGGATATTTTTCCTTCGGCATAAAGAAATAATTTTTGATACTTTTATAATTTTAATATGCTTAATATATACCTAAAATAAAAACTGTAAAATTTAACAATTTAAGGGGGGTAGAGGTTCAAAACAGCTGTTTTTTTGTTTTAATTTTGATTTGATTTTTTTCTGAAATTATGGAAATTTAAAACTTTTCACTAAAAAAGGTACTATGGATTTTAAAAACATATTATATAATATGGGTTGCTACTAATGTTTAATGAAAATATGAGATGGGTATGCTAAACAGAGTAGAATAGAACTTTTATTCAAAAAATCCATACAGGCTAAGAATACGTCAAATAAGTATAAATAAAATACAATATAAAATTTAAAGTAGCAGACAAATAATACATTATACACTTTAGTAATATTGATAAGTAAAATATAAGAAATCTAATATTTATAAAGTATCATAAACTAGTTTTAAAATCACCATGTTCAGAAACGATAACTAAAAAAATCATCAATTGAGTAATAGCATTCTTTTTTTAGTATAGATATGAACTCCTTTTTATAACTTTTAAGTTCCAACTGCTTTATATATTCAGGAAGTTTGTTATAAATTTTTATTATTTCATTTTGTGTGCTGTTTTTCACCATGGTAAGAGTGGTTTGGTCAATTTTTAACAGATGGTGGTTCCTTGTTTTGTATGAGTGAGTAAGATTTTTTCCATTAAAAAGTTCTGGATACTTTTTGATAAACACTGCACATTCGAGAATATACAAGCAAGGCACAGTAAGTATTCCATATTCCCTGAAGTATATTTTACATGATTGGTTTTGTTTAATCCCAAATATATTTCTGAGGCATCGCTTTTGAAGTATAAAGATTCTGCCTACTTCTGCTGAGTAACCCCAGAATATTATTCCATACTTGATACTTGAGCTAATTGAGTAATTTATGAATAAAGTTAAGATTCTTAACCCCCCAAATTTTACGCCAAAGATTTAATTTTGAGAATTTTGATTTTAGATCTAAATTCAGGATGTCAAAATTACCAAAGAATAAGAAATTAATTCCAAGTAAAGTTCAACCCTTTAGAAATACTATGGAAAAAAACATCCTCTTATCCCTCCTTCAGGAGGCCGTAACTCCATCTTGGGCCATTTTTTGATACATGTTTATTAAACAAACTAGTGTTTTTCTATGCAGATTGAACTGTTTGACTTTGGCCCCCCAATTTCGGGACACCCTGTATATAAAATTTTTAGACAAATCAAAAGGGCCAAGTTTAAAAGTGGTTGATTTGGCGTGAAATTTTCCATATACATATGTGTCTTATAATTATAATATGCATGTGTTTAATAATTGAATATTTGTGACCGTCTGTAATAATGATATATCTATATATAAAACTATATATCTATCTATATCTTGAGATTTGGTTGAAATTGTTATGTTATATATATATAGTATACTAAAAAAAATCCGTAATTTTGTTAAAAATTTTTCAGCCAACCGAAAGTTTAGAATTTAAAGAAAAATTGTGCTTTTTTAAAATGCTCATAACTTTTTAAAAACGTATCAAATTTGTTATTTTTAAACGCACTTTTTAGAAAAAATACAAAGAAATCATTCTATAAAACTTTTTTGGGTAAAAAAAAATAAAAAATTCACAAAAATGTTTATTATAAAAATGTCAGCCAAATCAAAGGAGTCAAGTTCAAAAGTTACCACTTGAACCCTTTCTATTTGGCCATATACATTTGATAAATATATCCTTTATATTTTTAAACACAATTTTTTAAGTGTAGGTTGGGTAGTCAAGTAGGTTCACACTAGACAAAACTAAGAAAATAATATTTCCAAAATACTAAAATAACAAACTACTTATTCTGTTATGTAGGTGAAAAAACAGGGAGTCAAAAAGGTATAAGCATTTTGTTTGGCCATTTACTGTGAAACGAGGCAACAGCGGTGAGTAAAAATTGTAAATCGTTTCGTATAATTTCTTTTGCAATTGAGCCGTGTATCGAAGAGCAACGCACTTTTAGCGTACGCGCATTATACAAATTTATTTTGCCGTCTATATCACACCTTTTTTTGGATATAAAAATGATAAAATTCAATTTAAAAAGGACAACAAATAATTGCATGTTTTGCCTTTAAAAATGCCAATAATATCAACTAACTTCAAAATTTAAATAGGCCTCTTTTTCTTTATAATTTTGTACAACAAGGGATTTGGACCCCTTCTCTGGCGGATTTTTCCTGTGCTCATCTAACGTCGCTTCTAGTCTATAAACTCTCTCCTCGTGATCAGCTAGTTGTTCTCTCTGAAAAAATAATAAAAAATTTAGAAACAATAAAATTGAATAATTTATAAAAACTTACCAAGTTAAGTTTAGTATGACTACATGGAAGTAGAGGGCGTTGGAATTTCTTTTGGGAACCTACGGCGGCTTCTAGAGGTGGCGCCGAAAAACTGGCGCACACGAAATTAATGTTGTCTATCCACGATTGTAATTCCTTTGAATCACTGAAAAAAGGTTAATATAGTTAATCTTTTTATTACTATTTCTTTTAAAATGTTCCTAAATTATGATTTACGTAAGGGTCCTGTAGTATATAAACTTTTAAATTCAAATTTGGCGCTATTTTAACCAAGGAAAATTTAAATAATCCACTAAAAATATTATTATAGTTTAAGTTATTTTATGTTTTAAAATCATATTGAGTTTTAATATTTCACTTCTTTGTATCTGAACGTCGAAATATTAGCTAATAGGGGTGATCTGTTTATGTTAGACATTCTTGCTTAAGTGGCCGAGATGTTTAAAAGCTAGATTAGGAAATAGAATACACACAGAGGGTTTTTGCTCGCCCTTCGAGATACTCCTGTTAAACCGTTTTGTGAAATATATTATAATATAGTTATAGTTTTTGTGATTGTTACCGATTTTCTGCTATAACTAGGTATGTACCCTTTTAAAAATTGTAAATTTGCTAGTAATGATAAACAACTCCTCGTTTTTGCTTATAATTTGCTTATAATTTTGAACAATATTATTTAATTCGCATTTTTGGTGTATGACGTTTATCATTGCTAGTTTATTGGGTCCTAATCATTTTAATATGTGTAAATAGCGAGTGATTTTTGGTAATAATTTTTATTGTATCACTATTTCATTATTTTGGTTTAATATCTTGGGATCGCGCATACACTGAGTTTAAATCTTTATGTTGTCGCGTTTATCATATGCACTGAAGTACATTTACCTTAAATATTACTATTTTGTATTGTCTTTATTTTGAGTTATACTGGCCTTGATTTTGTTGTTTCCTTTTGTATAACTTTGTATAACTTTTTATTTAACTGAAATGTATTTTATTGTTTATGAAACTCAGTGTATCATCTCGGTATTAAGGTATTTATTTATTTTAACTCTTTGCATTTGTACTCAGGCTAAAGCTTTTAACAATAATATTATTATTATAATATTGGTATTATTTGGGTAAGGTTTATAAAATGTTATTATTATTATTATTATTGCTCTTATTATTATTATTAAATTTGATATTACCATTAGGTCATATCATGGTAAGGTAATAGTATCGTTTAACCTTTTGATAGATTCTGGATAGAGACTTTGATTTAAACTGCTTATCTTAGCGCTTTATTTGGAATATTTGATAATGGCTTTAACGTTACTATATATGATAAAAATCTCTTTATGTTATTATTCAGCGCGATACTTTCTGGTGGTTAGAGTTTTGGCCATGTTCAGGTGTTTCTTGTTATGACTCTCTCCTATTTATTATTTTATTGTATTTTATTTATATTTTATATCATTTTATTTTATTGCATATTGTTTATTTTATTTGTGTCTGTATTTGTACTTGTGTTTTCGTTTGGAGAGTTCTCATACATGAATATTTGAACATGGGTAATATATTAGCATTATTTCAAAAGGATTTATCCTTAGAAGAAAAATAGTGTTTTTATGTTATTACCTATATAAACTCTGTGTGCAGAATTGTTTGTATATTTTCGCAATACTTTTGTCTTGTTCTGGACATTGATTTTGTAAGAATATTTGAACATATTGTGATATAGCGACACTTTAGTGAGATAGGACCACCATAGCTGTCGTTATATCAATTCGCAGAGTATGCAATTGTTCCATAGTGTGGTTATTGGCTACGGTTAAATATCTGCACTTGGTTAAAGCATATGAATTCTTTCTATCAGAAATATGTCGTTGCTGTAGTTTATTTATACAAAATCGTATCCTTGTTCAATAGTTCGAAGATGCGTGGTAAGGTAAACAAATACTACAAGATCGTCATAAAATGACGATCTCTATTATAACTATTTTACCTGAGTACAGAATGTTTTGAATATTGATAAAAACACCCAAATTATATGAAATATGTTTATCTGCTTTTTATGTTATTTTATTTACTTATTATTTATACTGTATTCTTGTGATTATGACCCATATGACTATGTTTTGTTTAATATTTTATTTTTATTTAAACTGTGTAAGTCGCCAGGGTTTTTATGGTCCCTTTTCCCTGTGCTCTGACTCAACGGGCCACCCCTTTGTCTTTGCTTAAATTAAATCAGGGGTTTTAAAAAATTAAATACTTGTGTTTCATTAAACCTGACCAATTTCAAAATAACGTTATTATCAATGTTCGTAAATACACAACGTAGAGTCCTAATTTTTATAAAGTAAGTAAATTATCTAGACGATCACGAATGTGCCAAAACAAGTATTTCAGTATACTTAAAGAATCGGGTTACGAAAATACATAGTGTACCTTACAAGTCTATCTGAGAGTTAAATTCCATATCGATTGTTGTGAGAACATTGGTATTCATGGAGATTATCTGCCAGATAACTAACTGCAACTTTAACTGGACATTGATAAACCGGCCCTTAGTGGCACAATTAATAAAGCAATTTTTGTTAAACAAACTTAAAATTATAAAAGATTATAATCTTAAGCTTAAAGCAACCCTCGTTTCTACGACACTGAGTTCACTCAAACAATTTTAATTATATGTGAATATGTGTTTTGGTAGTAAGTGACTGTTCGCAAAATATCACCTTTCCAAGACTACCATAGTAGAAGTTATATTAAAAAAACTGATATGATAAGTAACACTTTATCACCCTGTATCTTGAAAACATAAGTAATTAGGAAAAATAATAATAATAATAAACTTTATTGGAAATCCAAATGGCTAACGACTTTCGTCTTCCTGCCCTAGGAAAAATATTTATTTAGATTTTCGTCTTATTTGACTTGCTCAATCTTTTCCTAAATTTATGTCAATAAGTTTATGGAAACCTTGTATAATACCTGCATGATACAGGCTGTATTTATATTTAATACTTTTCTAAATTTATTGTTGACTTGTCCTATACTCTGTTTTTGTAGTCAAAAGCATTAATAAATTTATTATTATTATTATTATTATTCAAGTATAATCATAAACAAGAGTATAGTGTTAAAAGTCTAATATCCCATTTTTTTTGTTGGAAGTAATTATAGGTATATAAAGAAAGGAAATAACCAAAAAAAATATTATTTATTTTTATTTGTAAAAGATTGACAGATTAAAAAAAACACCATTTGTACGGCCGCAAATTTTATTTTGCAAGCCGGAACGCCTAGCTAGGAACACAATAAATAAAAGGCTATAAAGATTCATGTTATGAAGTGGCCAGCATTAAGTCCAGATGTGAACCCAATTGATCATGTTTGGGAAATGCTCGAATATAGAATGAGAAATCGTGTTCCTTTTACTTTAATATTTAGGAGGACAATGCACCCCACAGTTTTTGATAGCAAGTCGTATTAGTTTTAATCATAAACTAATGTAACGTTATTTTGCCACAACACCAATTTGTATTTTATCGTCCTCATTTGATAAGTTGTAACAAAATATTTTTACTTTTTCAAATAATCGTTCTATTGTTAGAATCTACTTAAAACCAGTTGTTTTATTTTTGTTAAAGATATTATAAAACATCATAAAGTGATAAAATTGTATGTTTTATAAATCCTTAAAGGTCCTACACTGTTTGTCAGATACAAGGTTTTTTATAAGCGTCAAGATAACTCGGACTCCATTAAATTTTGTTTTGTTCAATTAGTCCAATAATAAATTTGTGATTATTCATGTATTCGCGTCGTCACGTTGTAGAAAAAGTATTAAAAACAATAACATGTTTGAACAGGGATCCTTACCTGGTTTGAAAGAGATACTCGGCCTGGTCGGCCGTTTGCACTCTGAACACATATTGCTTCTTGGTGTAGTCGCTCGCCTTCGTCGCCAACGCGTGGTGTATCCGGATCGCGTTGTGCAGGTTGTCACCACCCATTTGATTTTTTCTGAAGCCGTTCTCGTCCTTGTGCAGATAGAGTACGAGATCCCGCAGCGTGCAATAGAACATCTTCCAGCTACGCTTGTGAAACGGTGCTAGAAAAATGCAGCAAAGGCCTTCGAAACAGCTATTTTGTATTGCAACATGCTTTGCAGCTGTCAAAATGACAATATGACTTAACCTCAAACTTAATCAAGAAGACATCCCACTGTTAAAAAGATAATTTTTGCCGGAATAACAACATGTGACTAATTACCAGATGCACGATTTCGAGAAGATGTTGAATAACCGTTTGGTCCTAGAGTCCCTATATATTTTTGACGTTTTTTGTGTTGATATAATCAATTAACTAATTAACTTGCAAAATTTAATCTTAAATCGTTTTAAGTAAGAACAACCCAGATAGCATTTAAAATTTAATATGAGCGTGGGCGTGAGGTTTATCTACGCATTTAGTCAAAATAATCGCATTGTAGATTCACGGATGCAGGGTCATAAAAGGCCCCCACAGACTTCGTTATTTTTCATCCGTTTGTATCGGCACCCCACTGAACAACACTTGTACTCGGTAGTACCGATTAATTAATTGTACCAGATCACCTTACAAAGCGCAAACCCAATAATGCGGATCCACGTGGGGGGGGGGGGCTTAACATGGGGACATGCCCACATAAATGTTCTAAATGTGCCCGATTTTTTTACTATAGTATATTAATTTACCAATTCACAATAAATATTTTGCGCGTGATAGCCACGTGGCTATGTCAAATCTATTAGCACGTGCTCGGTACGCTATTGGTTAATCGGCTACAAAAATTTCATCCTGTAAGATGTGCAGTTTGATAGAAGATTGACCAATAGCGGACCGTCCACGACGCTATCACGCACAAAATATTTATTCTGTTGAATTAATAAAATAAATATACTATAGTAAAAAAACATGGTTTTATATCAAAATTTCAAATATCATTTAAAAAATGTATAAAAACTTTAGAGAAATATCGTTTTTCAATTCCAATGATAAACAAAAAATTAATTTTCGTAGTGCATGTGATTTAAAAAAAAATATTTTGTCCCTGTCTCAAAATATTTATATGGATCCGCCCCTGGCCACTGAAAATATTTAAATAGATTTGACATTTTAATGATCTGTAATTAATAATTGTTTAATCTTTTTTTTTATTTATAAGAATTGTTTGAGTTGTGAATTTTATAAGAATATTTTTTGTTGTGTGTTTGAGTCATAATATAAGTCATAATTCCTGAAGTAAGCCCGCAATTTTTCATGTAATCGTGAAAATAAAAAGAAAACAAGCGGATATTTAGTACGTACCAATGCAACATAAATCCCCCAAAATGTTTTTAAAAACTTCATTTTTTATTATGTATTTTTCTGAACTTGTTTATTGCACTGGCGCTGCATATTATGTCACGCGGTGCGAGTGGCGCGCACTTAAAATTGGATTTTTAAGCACAAGTGCTAAAGTGAGTTTACTAATGAGATCACAAAATGGCTATTGTATTTTTGTGTTTTTATTTATATTTTCTACATCACTTAAAATGAATTACTGGCTCAAAATTGCATTTGTTTACAAAAAAGTAATTTTTAATTAATTAAAAAATTAATAACCATGTAAATTTCATCTGGACCTTTAGAAAGATCATTTATTCCTCTACTTAAAAAATTGACTTACAGAATGAAATATTCTATCATCTGATGACAGAATAAACACTCGTGGCGACATATCTGTTTTTAATATCTAACAAATTTTAGACCCATCCAACCTCACTTTCTTCCAATTAAATTATTTTTCTATGGTATTTTTTGAAAACGTAGAAAAAGTATAGTCTGAAACACGTTTGGAATTGCATATTCCGCTCTCGTGAAACCTTCACCCGAGCGGAATATGCTGTATTCCAAACTTGTTACAGAATATACTATTCTATCATCGGATGACAAAGCAAACAAACACTGGTGACGACATCTGTGTTTAATATCCAAAAAACTTTGAACCGATCTAACCTCACTTCCTCCCAAATAAATTATTTTTCCATGGTATTTTTTGGAAACGTAGAAAAAGTATAGAAACACGTTTTGAATTGCATATACAGAATATACTATTATTACTAGTATTTATCTAGTAGAATGTCCTCTTAATAATTATTGTTAAAAAGGCATTTTTTTAGTTAAGTTATATTGAATCTAAATAAGCAGCGAGGCTTATTTGGATATTAATCGATAAAAATATACTCACTTCGCTTGGCGTTCGCTTCGTAACAACACTTTCTCATTACGTAACCTTTTTTGTATTCTACCGCATTGGCTGAAACAGGAATGTTCAGGAATGGATTACCACCCATATTTACCATGTCGAAATTTTTTATCTGTCCTGGCATGTGACCATCCTCAATCTCTTCATCACTGAAAATAATTATATTTTAATATTGATTTTTTTATTGTCTTTAATGTTCTTACATTGCCCATTCAAGAGGATGTGTCTTAATGGCTTGATAAAGCGCTTTTAGAACCTCTCTTGGGAAGTTTTCTCCTTCGTTTAATCCGACTAAATTGTCTATGAATTCTGTACATGTCATTTTCCTACTGATATTCTGTCCATGCAGGTCTGTGTTAAGCAACATTATTGCACACGTTAGGGTATGCACAGCATCTAAAAAAACTTTTGTATTATAAAATCTTATTTTATTTATTTTTACCTTGAGAGTTAAAAGATCCTGGATTACAGTCTAAAAATCTCTTCGAAAAGTGTACAAGCACCCTCTCGCGTTCCTGCGTTTCGCCAGTAAGAGAGAACTGCTTAAGGAACTTTCGTAATGCCAAGTCCAACGTGTCTTTTTTAAAATCAAAATACTTTAGATACTCTTCTGCTACAGCTCTGCTGAAATCGTTGTTTTTGCTTAAATGCCTTGAAACATCTAAAAAATATAGAAACATATACCCAAATTAATAAAGTTGTATTAACAATTGTTATTAACATAATATGTAGCAAAGCAGTTGGCTGCTGGATGGTCAAATCTACATATGATATGTCTTGTATAAATCTACAAGCTGCTGATGTTAAATTTTTAAGATCCAAGCCGACTGTTAAGTGGATGTGTGCTGTGTGTAACACCATTGGAAATGATATTGTTTCTTTAAGGAATATTGTTTCCGTACTCCAAGCAGAAATTAAAACTTTAAAAGAGTGTATAAATGCAATTCAGGGCCAAACTATAACTCAGTCTAATTCTGTTGAAGATCCAACAAACTTTCAAGAAATATTTGAAGAACTAAATGATATTCGACGTAGAGAAAATAATGTTATAATTTATAATATGCCAGAAAATTTGGTTAATCCAGGGGATATTCTTAGTGCAGTAAAATCTGCTGCAAAAATAAACTCTATTAAAAAATTTAGATTAGGTAAAAAGGCTGAAAATTTTAATAAAGCTAGGCGTTTAAATATTGTTTTTGAATTTAAAGCCGATGCTGAGTATATTTTAAAGCACTCAAAAAAGCTCCGTGATTGTGAACGATTTGATAATATATATTGGGTACGATTTGACTGTTCGTCAAAGGGAGTATAAAAGAACAATTCAGGATGAGTTCAAAGTCTGCTAAGTTGGTGGAGAATCAATTAGACTCATTTATAATAATGGAATACCTAAAATAGTTAAAGACTTAAACCAAAACCAAAAAACAACCATACTTCCAACAGCAATTAAATTTTCTGAAGGAAAGGTAAACTCACACAAAAATCCCCTCCCCCTGAACAAAACTCTGTATCCGATTGAAAAATTTCACATGATAAAATTTACTTTAGCAGCATCAAAATATTATGTTTTTCAGTAAAAAAATTAAAGAAAAAAGACAAGTTTCTGAAAGTCACTGCAAATTGTCTGTCTATTTATTGTTTGAAGTTACTACAAAATCCCGATCCTCCATCAAAAAGAATTTGCCGAATTTCCAAAATAAAAGAGTAAACTCTTTTGTCTTCTATATTAATATGATTAAATCAATTAGCTGTAAGTGCTCATTCATAATGGACGTAACCATAAGATGACCGTAAAACGTAAACATAATTTCACCATAATTTGTACGTAACGATGAGTTGTGTTTATAATGAACGTATGCCTTATGTATATTAGGGTGGGCCGAAAATCCGCTTTTTTAGAATTTCGTTTAGTAATAGCAAAAATTTTGTTCATTATGTTGTAAAAAAATTTTGTGTAAAAGATTAAAATTTTCGATCAACATCCTAGGCTCGCCCAACGCAATTAAAGATCAAAATGTTCAAAAAAAATTTTTCCTAATTTATTTCGATCGGAAATTTTATGCTCTACACAAAATTATTTCAGATGGATAGTTTCAGAAATTTGTTCATTATGTTGTAAAAAAAATTTGTGTAAAAGATTAAAATTTTCGATCCTCATCCTAGGCTCGCCCAGCGCAATTAAAGATCAAAATGTTCAAAAAAAAATTTTCCTAACTTAATTCGATCGGAAATTTTATGCTCTACAAAAAAGGTCCTTACACTAAATTACTTCAGATGGATAGTTTTAGAAATAAACCCTATTTTAGTATCAAAATTTTTTTGAACATTTTGATCTTTAATTGCGTTGGGCGAGCCTAGGATGTTGATCGAAAATTTTAATCTTTTACACAAATTTTTTTTACAACATAATGAACAAAATTTTTGCTATTACTAAACGAAATTCTAAAAAAGCGGATTTTCGGCCCACCCTAATGTATATGTTAATAAGGCGCATGTCCAAGTTCACTAAAATGGCAGCATTGACAGATTTCGTCTAATTATTATGTCTTAAAACTTAAAAGTTTTAAGACATAATAATTATAATTATAAATATAAATTGTTAAAACTATCAGTGTTATCATAACCTTAGTGTAATGAGCGATATATAGGTTGGCAAAGAGAAGAAAAAAAGGGCGAATTTCGTCGAATTATACTCGAACTAAAACTTTAGGATAAGGAATGGTTCTTTAGATTGTTTGTTCTGTGGATACACCAGAATACACTTGAAAAAGATCTGTCATCTGTTTGCATGGCTATTGCTACCAACAATGTTCAAGTGAAATCATGAAAATTACTAAAATTCACACATAAGAAACCCGTAAAGTTGAGATGATTTCAACTTTACGTATTTTTTACGGTCACCCATAAGATATTATGTTCGAACGTAAAACGTAAAAATTACGGCTATTCATTATAAACAGGCACACTGGTTTTGTTAATATTCAACTTTACATTTTACGTATTTCTTACGGGCATCTTATGGTTACGTCCATTATGAATGAGCACTAAGTCGGCAAAATGCCAACTAGTAGATTTATAGAAAAATGAGGATCCGAATTCACTTTCCTACGTGTTAACAATCTGTAGCTAAGTAAATAAATTTCGGAAAATGCCGATTTTATTTTAAAAATCGCCGAAATTGACTAACTTGATTTACTTACCGGATTTTTTGAACCCGTCAAGTCCGTAGAGGCGTTTGGCGAGTCGAATAGCCGAAGGCATGTCGACTGCCTTCGGCGAATAATGGAAACTGTGGAGGCTCTCCACGTCACTTTCATCTTCCGACGAATGCGGCGAGGATCGGTTATATTCGTCCCTCGTCGCCAATTCCGTGGGGTCGTCTTGTTCGTATTCATGATGAGATTCGGATACCTATATAAACAAATAGGTACACATTTTGTTTCTTGAATCAAAAAGAATATTCCGTTTAATTTTTTAAGAATTTAATAAATTTTATTAAAAACAACCAGTATTTATTGGTTGTTTATCAACTTTGAAGTTAACTGCACTAAATTATTTAAACAATTTAGCGTAAAAATGGATGACGCTGGCCGTTCTTTTAACTGCTTTTATTTTTTGCGCCTTTACAGTCCCTGGCCAATTTTAAGACCGAATTTTCTTTAATTTTTAGTATTTGTAAAACCTTCTCACAAAATGCATATTTGAACTACAAAAGTGATTATATGGAGTTAAAGACGCGTTTTACAATGATATAGATAACACATTTTTTGCTTTAATGAAATTTATATTAAAAAACGACTTTTTAGGCTTTAAAACCTATTTTTGTAATACAACTTTGATTAGAAAATATTTAGATGAATATCTAACCATGTTGTAATCAAATTTCAAAATTCTCAGACATCTTAGTTTTAACAATGTATTGAAAAATTACAATCAACTGTTTCAACACTCTCGCAAGACTACAAGAAACTACTAAAAGAAAATACATCGCTGAAGAAGAAAGTTAACTGATATAAAATTGGGAGTAAGAAATGAAATACAAGCAAATAATAAAAGAAAATATAAAATTATAGTAAAATTACTTTTGCCATGTGGCAATATAGGTTTTTTAGATCTAGTGACACATTTTCTGCTGCAGTAGATCTTATAACAGAAGTACAGACAAAATTAGACTCGGGTAAAAAATAGGCAATTGTGTCGCTGAATCTGCGGAAGGCATTTGATACAGGGGTGCTTAAATTAATGAGTGTCTAGAAAAGTTTATAAACGAGTTGCACACTTAACTTTTTCTACGACAAATACTTATAATTATCTAAAAATGATTTAAATTAAGTATTTGTATAGAGCGCCATCTATAAAACAATAGGGGAATCTGTGATACCGTCGAATGTCAAATTTGTATGTGTTATAAACATAGATAATAAATCAAAAGGTATCCCTTGAAAATTGATTAAGCAACAGTTTTTCAGTGAAAGTAAAGAAAATGTTTTATTGGCCCTTCACGGTGGAGTCCGATCCCGACTTTAAGTTAAATCTAGTTTACTGCCGGCGAAATTAAAAGGTCAGTACAATGTTCATATAAACTTTTCAAATATTGGAGTTAAGAAACTATTTAATACTTTTGTATTTTTGTATTGAGATAATAAAATAATTTTCATATTTAGTATTATTTTAGAAGAAGGGCACTTTATTTTAACAATTGTATGACATTTTACAACTAACTTCAGCCCGTGACTAAAACGCAGTAAAGCTACAACTTGTCAATGTGTATTTAAAAGGTCACTTAGTGTCATGGAAACATGTACGATAACTGGCGTTTTAAAGGTGGGAGTAGAAAAATACATTTAATGATTTTAAGATGATTTGCTTATATAAATTTGCATTTAAATGATATATCGTTCATTCGAAACAACAATGACACGACTCAAAAATCACAGTTTTTGAGAAAACGCATTTTAAATTTCTTATTACTGTTTTTTAGAGAGTATGCCTATGCCTATGCCAACAAAATATTTGAGCTCAGCTTACGTATTTACTTGGTAAATGGAAAACAGTAATAAGAAATTTAAAATGCGTTTTCTCAAAAACTGTGATTTTTGAGTTGTGTCATTGTTGTTTCGAATGAACGATATGTTTTTATGTCTAAAACTTTTGTCCTTCTATTAAAGAAACTGTTTTATTCGTTTTATGTCCATAATTAAATTTGAAAATATTAAAAATATTGCAATACATTGGGAAAACTGAGAGTTGTTGATAATGAGTGATCACTTTTTTTAAACAAAATTCCTTTACTTTTACAGACACTATTTTTGTTAAATAAGAATATATAAATGTGTAGGTAATTTTACATCAAACAAATTTATAATTTTATTCAAAGTTAAAATAGCTACTTTTCTTTGTTGGTTCAAAAAAATAAAACCGTTTTAATTAAGCAAGATCGACTTTACTTATTGGTCTATCTAACATCCAAACTATTTTGAGTAACTCATACAGTTTTTTTTTAATTATATATATTTTTCTTTTCAAATGTTATAACATTGTTCTCATATGGTTCCACTTCCTTAATATCCTTTTTGTTATTTTTTAACTTCAAGTTAAATGTCAGTTTTTAGAGAATACAGAGTTCCAATTTTATTTTGGTTTCGTTTCCTGGCCTGTGAAAAAATTCTACGATTTTTTCGTGGTTACATTAAAGTAGCCACCCTGATGTAACTTGTGTAATGGGCTACAGGTTTTTTCCGAAAACCACATTGAAAACTAGGACTTTGTTGACACTTTTCATTTCACAGTAGTTACTTTAGATATGCCTCTATTACTGGATAGTGAAATATTCTTTTAGGTTTTTTTTTATATTAATTACACAAGTGTATTTCGACTCGAAATTTTCGAGTGAGATTATAGGCTTTCAATGCTGCATCAACTTGGTTTCTCAAAGCAGGAATAACATAAGAACTGCTACATTATCAACACCACTTAAACCAACTTAAAATCCAATTTTGACAAATTAGATTCCATTTGGATCAAAATATCAGTTTTCCCAGTGTAAACCGTAAAATATAGTTAAAAGTAACGAACCTGATATCCGTACATATCGTTCCTAACACTATTATCACCACTATTTTGTCTGTGCCTATCTTTGTCAGGGCCCTTCACTTGTATCACAATGCGATGATCGCTGCCGTGTGGCCGCCTGCTCTGCCTCGGTTCGCTGACCAGCAGGGTGCTATCGCTGTCGCTGTGATCGCTGATCTCCATCACGCAGTCCCTGATGCCAACGCTGTCGTCGTCATGGTAATCCGGACTGGAGATGTTGGAGATCGCCTCGGAAACGCTGTAGTCACCTCCTCCGCCGCCGCCACCCACGTAGTTTTGAGGGGCTCCGCTCGGTCCGTTTGTTGGCGGGAATGGCAACCGTCGCGATCCCGAGTGACTCGACATTACCGAGGAAGACACCGATGTTGGAGAGGCAGGAGATCCTAAACAAAATAAAGGTTTTTACTTAATTTAATTTTAATTTTCGTAGTCACAAAAAAACCTACATTTTTATTTTTATATGGAAACGGAAAAGTTTTGGCAGTATCCCTACAATGGTAATATAAAAAAGTGTTTTTTTCAAATATGAAAAAAAGTGATGTTTTTTTTGTTTTTAATGAAAAAAATAAACAAAACAATTTATGACAAAGACAAGTGTCGCCATCTAGAGTGTCTTAAAGACAACAATAGTGCCATACGATTATAACACACAATTTCACAAAGTCGACTTGGGGGAGGGGAGGGTCTGAAATCCCATAAAAAAGTATGACGTACTCTATGGACGGCCCTTAACAAATACTGATTAAAATAAATAGATTTATTAATATGGATTTTTACCTAGGTTATTTTACCCGTTTCAGGCTCTTTATTCTTGTCATTATAACATAAATAACTTTCACAACCCAACGCAGAACAAACACCATTGTATTTTAACAAAAATATACAAAACAACTTGTCGCTTTGTGGTTATGTTCGGTTCAGATTTTCAACTATTTACTATTTACTTATGTATTTATTGCAATACACAACAATAGGCGGTACGAGTCCACTCTTTTATGTCTATGGAATTAACACTTGGGAGCAAGCTCGTGAGAACTAAAAATGTGCTTTAATATAATATTATCTACTTGTCTAAATTTTGCCTCTTTCTTAGTTTTAAAATTTTTCCAAAATTTCTACAATTGTAAAAAATTACAAAATCATGAAAATTATGTTTTAAACCTTTATCAGGGCTCCCAGCAGTCCATGTTGCGAGAAATAGTGACTTAAGAGACTAATAATAAAAAATAAACGACCAAATATAGACCAAATTAATTACCGAAATAACTATAAAATGGAGGTTTACATTTTTTCGGGATAAAAGATCTAAATTTGAATTTAAAATACTTAGAGATAACTTGAAATTATAAATTTTTATTGAATTAAATTTAACAAGTAACCATAACTGTTATAAAATACATAAATAAATTCTGTAATAAATTATAACTTATAATAAATAAAATAACATTTATATAAAAGGCACTGGCATCAGTCATTTAATGGGTTATATTTTTTTTGGTGGGCTGCAGCTGATCTATAATTTTCGCCTTTCGTTTTTCTAAATCTTGGGCAAGACGACTAATCTTGTAAGTTACCTTCCCCGCTTCTTTTTTGGGATGGTTCACTCCTTCAAACATTAGTTGAGCCATACATATTTTAGTCATTTTTTTTATTTTCTGCACCCTTCCTTAATCGTTCAATTTAATTTTTTTCATGTTAGTACAAGTAAATTTAAACTTTGTTTTTATTAAATAATATGAACGTATAATTTTTAATAATCAAAACTATAGTTATACACTTAGGTACCTTTGCTATCGTCTGAACATATTATTTTAGGGTTATGGAATGGATGATAAAACATAGAATAGGAACACATTCTTTGTCACATGTTCTTTAATAGATACTAGGTACTTACTAATTTCATGAAAAATGCATATATAGGTAGTGTTAACCTAGCGAACCGAAACTATAAACGTAAACGAAACCCTAGACCAAACCAGAAACAATTCAGCAATAATTTTGGCGGGCGGTTCGGGTCTGGACGCCGCGGCGGGAACTAAATGTAAACTGCGAAGTTTTCGAATGTTTCACTTGTTTTACTGTGGTTTCGATATTTACAAAACTGTGAATATTTATATTTTAAAAAATATTTTTTAATAGTTGATTTTAACAGAAAATATAGACTTTATAGACTTTAGGTAAAAAAATAGACTTTTATAGACTTAAGACAAAAATATAGACAAGTCTTTAAAAAAACTACCTGCTGGGAGCCCTGACCTTTATTAATACCTTTCATGAACCAAATAATTATAACTTCTTTCGCGCGTCGTTTTGGTGTTTTTTGGATTATTTTTCACTCAAAGACTAAATTGGTTCAAAATAAATTTAAAATATTCGTGCCAAATTTCATCTTTTAAAATTAATTTTAATCTGGCCCCCACGGCATGCAGAGGCAGTCAAAGTTTGCAATGGAAAAACATGTATTTTTTAAAATTAAACTATGAAAATGAAAATTTATAATATTATATATAATAAACATAATAACCTCATTTTCTACTTTTAATAATTGTACGTTTTATTTATGGTTTAATCGAGTGTTTATTAAATAAAATTGTGCCTTGAAAAAAAAATATTTATGCCATTCCCCCAAGAAGTGTTTTTTGTGCTTTGCTCAGCACATACTTAAGTAATTTATTAAAACGTTTTTACAAATCTTAACATTTTAAAAATATGCAATATGCATATTTATATTAGTTACCTAACCTCAATACTACACCTTTATAGACAGTTTTGACTTAAAATTACAGATGGCGTTTTGGGTAATAGGCGTCACATACTTCCACAGTGTGGAAGTATGTGATATGTGTACAAATTTGGCCCGGTTGTTTACCCCTCGGAAAAAATATTCTGTGAAAATTTACTTATTAGAATGTAAAGTTATGTTTAGAGTTCGGTTTTGGGTCTCATGTCGTCGGTAGCTCTATGAAAGAGTATATGAAAAATAAGTGACTTCTCGACCCAGGAGAGGCAAAATCGGACGTAAAAACAAACTGGTATTAATCAAGAATTTGTAAAAATATATGGAAATAACTAAGAGATGGATCGGATGATTGAAGATTAAAGACAATTGGAAAATTCTGTGTATGAAGCCATGTGTACATAGTGAAGCGAAAAGATGACATGGTTCTATGAAAATTAATAAATAATTAAGAATATATAAATGATGCAAGGGATGAGTTAATCTCAGATTCTTTTAAATAAGACCCTTCTTCTTTTTCTTTCTTGGTGGCTCAACGCCTTAATGGTCTTGGAAACAATGTACCATTTTGACCAGCAACAAGTTTTTAACGTCCTTGAGTTTTACGAAGCCATCCACTCACGGACATGTGGAATTTCAAATCTTGAAACATCCACTAAATCGATTGCACAAATCACAAAATTCCTCGCTGAAAGGACAAAGCTTGCGATATTGTCGAGAAATACCGGTATATTTCTATACCGGGAACCCCATTTTATCCTGGGTCAAAGTCAACTATTTTCAGACTTTTTCATGCGATGTACTACCGATGAAGGACCTTGATCATAATAAAGAAAATTTTAATAATATAATGTGCTGGCTAAATAGCTTTTAAATTAAGCTAAAGGTCATTCCTTCAGAATTAAGAAGAAGAAGAAGAAGTTATGTTTACCCGAATGAAGAGGACTTGAAGACGTAGGCGAGGTGTTGCTATGCGACGAACTGCTGCCGTTCGACAAGGCATGTTGGAACTTGTGCTGTTGCTCGGTGATGGGCGCGTTGTACGTCCACACTATCCGATCGGCGTCGCTCGAGGCGGCGGAATCGGGCCGCGTGTCCAGCAGCGTGTTCAGCGAGCTGGTCACGTCCTCGTCGTCCTGGTTTCCGCCGCTCGCTATGCAGCGATCGTTGGCGGCCTGAAGCTGATCCTCCGATCGACTGGTACGCACGTAGTTGTTCTGTGAGTACGGGTCTGCCGGCGAGGACTGCTGTAGCGGTTGCTGGTTTTGCGCAGATTGATGCTGGTGCTATAAGGAAAAATTTGTTTAAACCAGGGTTTTAAACAAACGATTTAAACATGTTAAATCAAAGTGCTTAGAAACAAAGAATAAAACGTAACGGAAAGTTTCACTTTTCCGTATGCAATTACTTTCCACACGCAAGCCCTGCATTGTTAACCAATACCAGTCAGTCAGCAAATACCAAAAATAAAATAAAAAATGGAAGTTCTTTGCTGGGAAATTACCTTGAAGTATATAAAAAGGATCAGTATGCCATCAAAATCTGGCCTTTTAGCAACGCGTTGCAACTGCAATAAATTTGCAAAACGCTAGCAATTGCAGTTTCATTATAAATATCACAAATAACAAATAAGTTATTCTTTTTCAAAGGGTACCAATTTTGGACATCACCAGGCCCGCTCCTGGGGTGTCTGGCGCCTACGTGCAGCATTCTTTGGTGCGCCCCTTTTATATTTAAATATAATACATACACTCACGTGCAAATAACTTTTTTATTTGATGTCGGATTTAAACGAATATTAAAGAATATTGTAGATAAATTAATGGACAATCGCTCACATTTTAAAAAAATACTAAAAAATAGACGTACGTTTATAATATACAGGTTTAAACAAAAAGATGTTTTTACCATAAGCTTAAGACACTCCGTAGAGTGGCAAAACCGTATATTAGGGTGAGCCAAAAAAAATAACCTATCGGATTTATGGGTTAAAATGAACCTACATACCGAGCAAAAAATTTCCCTGCAATTTTAAAAGGTGTCGGTGAGCATTCTAAGTTTTCCATTGAAATAACACGTAAAAAAATCTTTTTTCATTAAAAAGACTATAACTTTTGAACCGTTTGAGATAAAAATTTTTACGTCGCGGATTCTTGTAGAGCATAAAATTTCCCAAAGAATCCATACCAAGATTACACCTCAAAATGAACACATTAATTTACAAAAAACAATTTGATAGCTTTTGAAAGCTGTATATGACATGTCCAAGTATGGGATGATTCAACAAAACTGTCACTGTCATTCTCCATAGGCTATGGATGGACCATAGCAACCTTAGTTCTTCATACAGGAAAAATATTGGAAATTGCAAATCCATTAAAAAAATCCATACCTATTTTCCACAAAAATAAATATATCGAGGTGAACCAAAAACAAAACTGTTAAGAATAAAACTTAATTTAGAACAATATACGGTTTTGCCACTCTACAGAGTGTCTTAAACTTATGGTAAAAAACATCTTTTTGTTTAAACCTGTATTATAAACGTACGTCTATTTTTTTAAAATGTGAGCGATTGTCCATTAATTTATCTAAAATATTCTTTAATATTCGTTTAAATCCGAAATCAAATAAAAAAGTTATTTGCGATTGAAATTCATCGAAAATTTGTGTGGATCGATTATTTTGCACGTGAGTGTATAATAAAAAATATATATTTTGCGACAAACTGGCAATATGTTTTTGAAAATGTAAAAACACTGCTTATTAAATTACCAAACAATCAAAATCACAAATAATATTTAGTAATAAAAATACTCCAAGGAAAACAAAAAAAACATAAACAATATAATAACTACAACTGGTGACGTACTCTCTAAAAATGAATTAGTCAAAAATGACTAGTTTTCAAAGTGAAAAAGCAGTCACTAATAACTGTAGTCCACAGCAATCTGTATCCCGGTCATTTAACAACTTATTTAAAATTGTCCCCTGAATCCGAATAAACCGTCAAAAAATATGAAAGTAGAGCAGTTTTTGAAATATATGTTCTACTTTTATAGCTTTTGACGACATTTTCGGATTCAGCGGACAATTTTACATAGGGGTTGACTGCTAAATGTCCGGGATACAAATTGCTGTTGACGATAATTACACAGCCCCATCACATCAGGTTTTCAAGATATATGCGTACTGCGCCATAAAAGATTGCGATGGATTAAGTTATGTTGACGTTCAGATTATAGGGTTATTGGGGGTGGGTTGTGGGGTATAATATATCAGATCATAATGTTATTATGGATTAACAGATTCGGTTACGGGATTATTTGGCTATGACATATTGCGTGATAATAGATTAAGTTCAATTGCTTGAGTTGTGGTCATTGGGATTCGGATTATGGGGTTATTGGGCTAGGGTTCTTTGGTTATGGATTTATGGGTTTCAATATAAAATGTTATAAAGTTATTGTGAATAAACAGCTTCAGTTATAAGGTTTTTGGTTTTAAAAAGGCTTGCTTTATTAGGTTATTTGAGGTTATTTTGAAAACCTGAAGTGATGGGGTTAAACGGGTAACTAAGCGAGCGTTTTAGTTACTTTGTCGCTTGGCGAGCGCTACGTTGTAGAAAAAAAATATTATGACAATTTCTCTCTTTTATTTTGATACTCATATCAAAAAAAAAAAATAGGCTGCCAATATCAAAGCGGCAAAAGGCGCTTTATAGCGGCCGAAAAAAAGAGCGTCATAGGGCTTTAATGCGGCCGACGCAAAGAAAGGCGGTAACTTTTATCCTACGTATGTTTAAGTATTTGTTTATTTGCAAGAAAGTTTATCGTTACAAAGTACTGATTGACTTTTTGATTTTGCGCCCCCAAAATGTTGCGCCTGAGTGCGTGCACGCACTGCAAGCTAGCCAGGAACGGCCCTGGACATCACCTCACCGATTTGGCTCAAATTTTTTAAACAGTACTAAAATTTGCCTTTATTTAAAATGTTTAAATTAAAACTTAAGAAAAAAAATTATTTAAGGAATAATGTAGGGGGGTTATTTAACTGGGTAATCTAATGCAGTAATTATTTCTCAAACGGGACCCAACATATGTTGGACATCACCTTGACTCAAATTTTGTATACGGTACTAAAATAGGCCTCTATTTAAAATGTTCAAATTCAAGAAAAAAATTATAACGGAAATATTTAGGGGGTCATTTTTTCAATTTTTTTGTTTGCCTTTGCAAGGCTTTATACAAATTAAAATAACAAAACTTCTACAAAATTTGAGTCAAATCGGTAAAGTGATGTCCAACATTAGTCCCGTTTAAGAAATAATTACTCAATTAGATTACCCAGTTATCATATAACTTAAAAAATATGTTGTTTCTTAATGTTAAAATAAAATGTTTCTCATTTAATGAAATATAATGCGCTTGTACAAAAAATATTATACCAACACGTGCGGATTGTATCACCTTCCGCACTAGTTAAGTATATACCCATACAGCACAAGATGTCCATTGGACGTCAAATGGACTTACATTGGACGTTTGGATGTACAATGGTCGTCCGCTGGACGTCCAATGGATATATGTGCTGTCTGGGTAACACATCGAAATGTAGAAAAATTTTTAATAATTAAATTTTGGACTGGAGACAGTTGACACCAGGTAATAATATTGTTTTAATGTCTTACTGAATGGTCCTTTTTGTTGGCACTGACTGGTGATGTGTTGGTTGAGTTGGGCCCAGAGCGACAGTGGTTGCCGGGCGCCGCGCTTGCAGATCGATGTCCCATTTCCATTTCGTTTGGGCTGTTTGGTACCGAGTTGTATTGTTGTTGATGACGCAGGTGGTGCGCGTGGCTATTGTGGTACCTTAAATTATCCACCTACACAAACCAATACAATTACATACATTTTTGTAGTTTTGACAAAAACATATTTTATTTTAGAATGGTTAGTAGTAAAATCGAGGGGAAAATTTAGTACTGCGCATGTGTTTGACGTCTAAAAATCGGTGAGTTACCTTCTTCTGTTGCTTAGGAACAATGGTTGTAGTCGGTGGCATACGAGAAATGTTGAGAATATGCTCTCCCGTCATCATGTAAGCTTCAAATTTGGGCTGGGAGCCCTTGTTGCCGCTTTTTTCTTGATTGTTAGCTGCCAAAGGCTGCCATTGCAATCGTTCGTTCTCCGCTTCAGGCCTGTATTAAAAAAAATATATGTTAATAAATAAAATTGATAATTTTTACAAATTTTAAACTTAAAATAAAAGCCAGTATATTTCCAGATATACTGACAATAACTCAATTTTATAATTGCTGTATCTTGAGGATAACTAGCATATTTTAATAGAATTCTACTTAATAATATAAAAGAAAAAGTAAATCGGATTGTCAAATGGGATTTAAAGGAATGTTTTCACCAATAATAAAGACACCTCAAAACATTGCACTTCCTCCTTTGTCTTGAGGGATCGATCGTCCAGTTCAGAGTCTAGCTTGTCTTCCACGACCTCTTAAAATACGTCTGATCGTAGACCAATTCTGGATTTATCCGAAAATAAGACATTTTTCTAATATTTAATTGTCCAGTTTAAATGCTCCAAATACAATACAAAAACTCTATTTTGCACTATTATTTTTGGAACCCTTAACTGTGTTCTGCGATTTCTTTATTTATGCCGAATAATGCACCACCGCTGATAAGCAGAGTTGTCAAAAACTGTTTAGATTAGAGCCCCTTAAAACAATCCGGCAACGCAGAGCAACTAGTAGAAGTATTTTTAGAGGGGGGGAAAAGTTCAACAAAAATTAAATAACTTAATAAAAAGCATGCCTCGACGAATTCGTGCTTGCATTGAGGCTAGAGGTAAAAACACTGATTATTAAATTAACAAAAACCTATTATTTCCTCCTAAATTCTTATTTATTGTAACGTTTATTCTCAGAGAAATTCACATTTTTTGTAATTAGTTCTCTAGATTATTTCCAAATCACTTTTTTAAGTGTAATAATGATTCTCGTAATTACTAAATGAAGATTGTAAAAACGAAGTGGGATTCTCCTTACTAATCACCTATTAATACATTTCATATCGAGTGGCAAAAGGCGGCTATTTCCGAATGTGAAGTTTGCTTGCCGAGCGAAGTGAGTGTAGCAAAATACTCTTTAAAAATCCCCTATTTTTTATCACAAGCGCAACGGAAATTCATCTTTCGCTTTCGCCTTTTTAAGAGATCTTTAATACTTACGCTTTTTTAAACATCTTTGAGCGCAGCATACTGAAGTTAACGCATAAACAAAATTTCAGTCGTACCAACCAACAAGATAATTAAAAAAGTTAACTTTTGCGTTTGTTTTCCCCAGAAATCCGCCAGTTTTGAATCCATGGAGCCTAAACAAGGATCCTGAACCTAATAGGGGAAATTGATAAAACCTGCCCTCTAAATTGCACAATTGTCTTTTTTTCACCACCAGCGGCCCTGATTGTCGACGCTTGATCAGTGGAGGCTGGTGGAATTTGGGTATACCGATATCTCTATTATTAGATATGGGACCCACACCAAATTTATATGAGTTTATGACATTAAATAAACAAGTTCTGCGCAGGCAGAATTTAAATTAAAGTTTGCTTGGCCGTACCGGCCCACTGGCGCCCCCAATATATATAATATAAATTTAATTGGTGCAATTTATTATTTACCATAGTTTATCGGCAAATTTTAAATTTCATTTAAAAAATCCAAATTATACAAATTTTTTACCATTTTAAATTTTTATTATTTCTTTGAAAAGGGGGCGCCAGTGGGCCGGTACGGCCGTGTGGCACAAAGGCCTTCTCTACAAACTACATCTCCTTAATGTCCCCAGACATCTGATAAATATTGTAAGGCAGTTCCTGGAAAACAGAAGACTTAGAATCAAAATCAACAACGTGTATTCCCCTGACTTTTTAAATTTTCAAGGAGTTCCACAAGGATCCCCCATTTCCCCATTGCTATAATATAATATATTATAACCTATATTGCTCTGATATTTTCCAACAAACCACCCCCACGCAGTATATACTGCAATACGCCGATGATACAGCCCTAATAACTCATGAGAAAACTCTGAAAAAGTCTGTGGAGAACCTGCAAAACATAATAAACCAAACTGAAAATTGGTTCAACAAATGGAGATTAAAACCAAATCCAAACAAATCTAATAAGTTAATAAGTTTGTTATATTCAACCACAAAATTAATTAATTATATAATCAACGCATTTCACCCGCAAACAACACTACATACCTGGGCCTACAGCTAGATAACAAACTTAATCTTAATCTCCATACCAAAACGGCAAAACAAAGAACAGTCGCAAGAGCCAAACTATTTACAGGACTAACCAACAGATGGGGTGGAATAAATATGAAAACTGCAGCTATCGTGTACAAAGCCATCTGCCGCCCCCTTCTGGAATACTGCCACCCAGTTTTACTAAACTGTCGAAAACCAGCCCTAAATAATATTGCAACTGCGGAAATAACAGCCCTAAGAACAATCTCCAAACTCCGCCATCCCCTAAACCCTCTTCACAATCCTCCCAATGGCCTTCTTTATCAAACATTAAAAATCAAAGTTCCAATTCTTGAAAGATTAAAAAATCTTTCAACTAAGTTTGCTGCTAAGGATCACAACATTGAGATACTATCACAATTGTGCATCACCAGAGAAATCGATGAAAATGCCACAAAATTCCCGGAAAATACAATATTGGAAATAATCTTACAATTGTCTAGTAATAATTATAGTACAGTCATCTTAGTCAAAAAAAGGGATCAACCTCGGAATCCAACGGAATAAGCTGAATTTTTGTGAAAACCTTTATTTTAGCATTACAAATGTTGTCTCAAAAGCCACATATGCCAACGTGTGAGCGACCTTAGATATTCAAGGTCAAAGGTCGCAAAAATCAGTTTTTTAAGAATATCTCGTTTTCTCTGCCTCCTATCGCATTTGCATTTATTATAAAAGTTGTAGAGAATAAAATTCTCTACAAATTTTGTTTTTAAAATTTTTTTATACGTCGAACCGTTTTTTAGATAGAGGGCGCAGAGTGTGGAGCGTACCTTTAGCGCAAGGTAAATCGTGAATCCCAATCTATTATACCGTTTTTTTAATTAATTATATAATATTATATAATAAAAATTTAATACCTTATACTTATATTTATATTTCTTTTAAATCAAATATAATTTATCTTCATATATATCTTATATTTTAATTTAATTTTAATGAAGGATAATTGGATCGGAGTAGGAAAAAAGTTTTTATTTATATCAATATTATTATTATTATTATTATTATTATTATTATAATTAATCTTCTTCATCCTCGTCTTCTTCAGGTTGGCCAGCAATTTCAGACTCATTCTCATCATCACTCTCCTCGTTATCATTGCAATGTCATGACATTAATTGTCATATCTTCAAAAACTTAGTTAAAACGCGTTTGTACTTTGCAGATTTTTTTGCATTTGCTGCCTCATCTGCGACTTCACCACAAAATAAGCACAATATTTTAAAATCAAACACATCATTCCCTTTTTTACGAGGTACAGTTGATGACGTTGAAGGTCCAGTCTCTTCAAGGCGACGTTTTGCTGCTGCAATTTTACTATAGTACGCTATAGCGTACAATTTTCGACACTCAATATGAACGTTCACAGAAGTATTTAGGTAGTTTATGTTTATTTCTCTCAATAATTGCTTCTTTTAAAGTCTTTATACCGCGAACAAAAGTCACAGAATCACCTTCAGAAAGTAACTTATTACAAATAAAACACAAATCAGCCATGTTAACCTTTAAAATATTACGAATATTACCTGTCACAACCCTAGACCTATACCTAGGGTCACAACTTGCTTTAAATATAGGTATAACTAACCTTTTTATTTATAGCAAGCCCACTATAGTATTTCCAGGTCTGTTATTTTAAAAGTAAAATTTGGATCCAAGAGATGACCAGAGACATATTCAAGGCAAATTCATTTAATGTCTTTTCTTCTTAAAATGCATTTATCATTAATTAGAATAACATTAGAATATATTTAGAATGATTCACTTCATTATTTTATTATTTGTATGTCAAAAGTAACTAATATTTATTGACTATTTGTTTTAAAAAAATATCGAAAAATATATAAAAATAAATATAATATAATAATAATATAATATAATGTATTAAATTGTTAATTAAGTAATATTTAATAAATAATTAATTTAAAAACGGTATAATAGATTGGGATTCATGATTAACCTTGCGCTAAAGGTACGTATGGCTGAGCGCTCCACACTCTGCGCCCTCTATCTCAAAAACGATTAGACGTATATAAAAATGTTTTAAACAAAATTTGTAGAGAATTTTATTCTCTACAACTTGTATAATAAATGCAAATACGATAGGAGGCGGAGAAAAGGAGATATTCTCAAAAAATTGATTTTTGCGACCTTTGACCTTGAATATCTAAGGCCGCTCACACGTTGGCATATGTGACTTTTGAGACAACATTTGCAATGCTAAAATAAAGGTTTATACAAAAATTCAGCTTATTCCGTTAGATTCCGAGGTGAAATGCCTAGATGACTGGACTATTAGGTTTTTTTTGTATCACTTAAAGTAGTTTGTAACAGGCTGAAGGACCCCGGTCGATGGCCTTTTGTATATTTTGTATTATATGTTCTGTATTGTATACAATAAAAACTTTATTTATTTATTTATACCATTTTAAATTTTTATTATTTCTTTGAAAAGGGGGGGCAAAAAGTTATATTTTTTTCGCAAACTTCAATTTAAATTCTGCTTGCGCAGAACTTGTTTATTTAATGTCATTATAAACTCATATAAATTTGGTGTGGGTCCCATATCTAATAATTAAGATACCGGTATTCCCAAAATCCGCCACTGTGCGTGATAACGTCTGCTGTTTTGGTAGTGTTTCGGTACAAATCAGTCATTTGTTTATTAATAAACGGAACAACAGCCCCCTCTTATCTTAGGAAGATTTTTGTATACATGAAGTTTGGACTCCTTGTGTAGGCTCCATGTTTGATTCGCTCAAAAGGAAGCGCGTGTCATAAAAAATATATTAATGTATGTGCATTGCACATTGTGCAATGTTGTATGCGCTATCATTAGTTTGTTTTATTTAAGAGTAAAAATGGCCCTGTGCGTTGTCTAATTTGAAAAAGTTTACATTTAAAAGATTTGATTAAAAATACCCTAGTGATTTTTTAAATGTATTACTTACTGTCTGTCGTAATGGTCTCCTCCTCCAAGTAAAGGTTCTTGTTCAGCACAGCTGCCGTTTGTGGTGGGCACAAACCTGCTACCATTCTTGTTGTAACTGGTTTTCGTTTGGTGCAGCACCTGGTGCACCCCTGGCTCCGGTCTACTGCTCTTGATGGTCGTCGCTGCCGCCGCTACTCCAGTGTTGGCATTCGAGTTGCTGTTCGAATTGGCGTTCGAGTTGTTCAGGTGCACCGCCGCTGGCGCGTTGACTCCATCACCAGCGCCGCCTCCAGTCGTCGAGAGCAGATGTTTTCGGACGATCGCTTTGAATTTTGGATCTAAACAGAAAAACATTAATACATTAGAAAGAATATAAGTACTTTTGGTTTAATATACATATTTCATAAGAAAATAATCATACAGTAGTTTTAAAGTATGATTTATTCCTCTTGAAAAGCCTAGATAATAACCATAATAAAAATAATAACTTACTATAATTTGATTTAACACTATTAATATAATATTCTTCTAATGCTACAATTAATAAAGCCATTATTTCACTATACATATAAATTGTTTAATCAATCTCAGTTACCATGTTTCATACGATTAAATTATAGTAATTTAACGTTATCAATTTTCATTTCAAGTGTTATTTAATTACAAATTGAATTATAAAGGTTAATATTATTTAAATTATAAAAATGGCAAATTAAATTAATTAAATAAAATATGTAGTATTTTTAGTCACAGATAGTAAACAAGGGTACTATGTAAGTACTTAAGCGTGCATTATTGTTACAAGATATGATCAATTTATTTACGATTTGTGCAAAATGGTTGACATGCATTGGTGCATTATATTACCATGGTCGTAGCCAGAATATTCAGTAGGGTAGGGTCCAAAAACAGTGTTGCAACACTGGCATGCCAATCTGTGAGTAATTCCTCACATTTGTGAGGAATTTCATGGCATGTGAGGAATTTTGTAAGTAAAGTACAATTGTGAGTAAAATTTAAGTAATCAGAACATCATGTATATTCTGCAGCTAAGGTAAGTCCGGATTCTTCTGAATATTTTGGCTGTATACAACATTCTTTTTAATAAATGATTTTCGATGGATAAGTGTCTATGACATCAAAAACTTTTTTTAGGCCTCCCAGGGGGCAACTGCCACCCCCTGCCCTCCCTGACTACACCTATGAATACAATAATTGACAAAATTAATTTATTGATTTTTACGAGTTTTTTTTTAAATCCTGATATTGTGGTTTGACTTTGTTAAAAATAAAAAACTTTGACAATATAAGTGGAATACCGATAAAATGTCGACAGAATTCATCACGTCTTTACGAACCGGTTGCGCGTGTAATATCTGCCATTTGCAAAACACAATATTTGACAGGAGACGCAAAAGACTGTTAATTTTTTTTAGACCAACCACTCCCTGATTTAACTTTGAACTTCAAGACTAGTTCGGAAAGTTTTTCAGATAACAGCGCATAGAGCTGTTGATTCAAAACCACTTTTCGATTATTTAAATATTACTTGGCAGGTAGGTCACTTCCAAAAGTCCCACCTTTGAATACAAATAATTGAGGATATCTAAATGGCACTTTAACGCAAATTTCGTCTTATATTTTGAAAATAATAAAATATATGTATTTGTTGTGTTCTAAACGAAGGTCCTTATATATGAGAAAATAAGATGAAATTAGCTTTCAACTGACACATAGATAACCCCAATTATTGAAGAGTTTCAAGATTTTTCTTGAAAAATTTTATTTACAATTCCAGTCCTGTCAATTTAAACCTATTAAAAACTGTAAAAAAAATATTTGCTGACAAATAAAAAGAAAGAAACAGAAATGCAAGTGACCAAAATTGGCGAATATTTTTCTATTTACCTTTTCCATATTAACGGATTAGGGGTGTCAATCACGGGATCTCAAAATCCCGGGGTCCCGGGATCCCGTAAAAAATCCGATCCCGAAAATCCCGGGATTAAAAGTCCCGATCCCGGGATCTATAAATTACAAAGAATAAAATATACTTTTTTTTTTCAAGCGTATGACAATTTTCATATTATAATACTCGTACTCATTTTTGTACGCAGTACATGTTAAATTAAACTATACACCGCCGTACAATAATAAAAATACATTGAAATCACATAGCAAGAGTGGTTGCATCTATCGCGTTTAGGGCATAAACAGCAAAGAAAATGTAAAATTATAGGTCACTGTAGAATAAATTTATGTAGGTACATAACCTATACTATAACATATTTCAAACGCCAAACCTGAAAAATTTTCACAAACATGATAATTTCAATGTAATTTATAGTTTAATGGGGGTGGTAAACGTGGCTACAATGTGCCTACGAATTTTTAAAAACCATTCCTCCAAGTATAGTGTGAAGTCCGAAAGATATCGTTCGTGAGTTTGTTTGATTCTTTAAAGATTGGTTTTAAAATTAATGATTCGGGACTGATCCCGGGATCCCGGCCCGGGATTCCCGGGATTAGTTACCTTTGGTCCCGAAAGGCCCGGGATTGGAAAAAGGGCTTGGGGTTGACACCACTATAACGGATGTATTATTGTATAAAAAATGACAAAGTGACACAAAAATGACACATAATTTATTTTTTCTACTCCTATTACGGAATTTGACCCTTCTAATATCACTTTTATCTATGGAATGACATACTTATATTCCGTAAAGTCGTCACCCTAATATGTTAAAAAAAAACGAAAAATTTAAGTCTATGTTTCTACAGGATTATACGTGGCCTACGCTTCACATACCACTTAAAAATAATTCTATAGAATGTATATTCTATGTATACATACAGTGTGTCGCATTTAAGATGAAGACACCCCCATATTTTCGCTATTTCCAGGAATAGAGATTTGAATTTTTTCACATTCATACATGTTGGTGGGTCACATTTTTTAAGATACTCAACTGAAATCTGAACTTTAAACTTGGCCTACTACGAATTCACAAACGGGGCCAGTTGTCGATATTTTGCTTCGCGTTAGAAATATCGAAAAAAATTATTAGAAAAAGTTGTTCAGAATATTATTCTAACCCCGTATACCGATTTTCATAACAAAATTCGCATTTCTAATTTATTTATTTTTATTAGTTTTATTATTGTTCTATACCATTTCCTTAAATTAATAAATTAAAATTATTTGTAATTTTCAAAAATTGTTTTAATTATTTATTTAACGGTCATAAACACTAGTTAGTATCAAATTATTACTTTCCATGGCTCCCTTATTATCAAACTAAAAAATGAATTTTGTGTGGACCAAAATAAAAAAAAATTAAAAATGCGAATTTTGTTATAAAAATTGGTATATGGGGTTAGAATAATATTCTGAACAACTTTTTCCAATAACTTTTTTCGATATCTCTAACGCGAAGCAAAATATCGAGAACTGGCCCTGTTTGTGAATTTGTAGTAGGCCAAGTTTAAAGTTCAGACACAGAATAAAGAACTTATAGTTCTTTATTCTGTGGTTCAGATTTCAGTTGAGTAGCTTAAAAAATGTGACCCATCAACATGTATGAATGTGAAATAATTCAAACCTTTATTCCTTCAAATAGCGAAAATATGGGGGTGTCTTCATCTTACACACACATACGACACACTGTATATATATATGTATAGAGTTATTTTCAAGTTGCATGTCAAGGGTGGATTACATAAAACCTTGTAGAAGCATGAACTCCAATTTTTCGGTTTTTTAACATACAACCTTGTTATATTAGGGTGAGGAAGTGTTACAGAGTGAAATATTCTATCATCTGATGACAGAATAAACACTCGTGGCGACATATCTGTTTTTAATATCTAACAAATTTCAGACCGATCCAACCTCACTTATGTGTTAAATGTGTTAATTTTAAGCTAAAGCAAAACATATATATGGTAATTTTTTAAAAAGGAGCCTAGAAAAAATAGTTCTTATTCATTAAAAAGGGAAATTTGGCAACATACACATAGTGTCGTATAGTGGCATAAAACTGAGGTTAAAACCATTGAAAAGTTCCGCTCAAAGATTATCTTTGGTTCCACTATTACAAGCGTCTAGGCCATGGAGCCTACAAAAGGAGTAAAAACTCAATATGAGCCACTAGCTCAACTGATTTCCATTTTGTACTGGAATCTGCTGTATCTAAGGATTGCAATTGCTGAATCCTCATCCTGTTTGTTGTGAAAATTGTGAGTAATTTGACTGAATTTTAATTTTAAGTTATTTATAAACATTACATTACAATAGTTACATTGGAAACAAAAAATACAAAACTTGTAATATTAATTATTATAAAAAATAATGAAGATAATTATCTTATAATGTTTACATTAATTTTGTTCAAGCTTTTAAAGTAGAAAACAGTTTAATGTTCTACATATATTTAATTGTCCAGTATAATTTATATTATGGGGTTAAAAAGAGGATAAATATACTAAAAATTGATATATACGAAATTGTGCAATATTTTTCTTCACACAAGTTTTTCAGTCCTGTAAAAATAATATTAAATTTAAATTTTATTATTTATTTATTTAGGTTTACATATTACTAATAGTAATTTACTATAGTATAGCTAGCTAATCAGTTTTTTAACTAATTTATCAAAAAAAAAACAGTACTAGGTATATAGAGAGATTACAAAATAACAAAACATGAAAATGGGTAAAAAAAGTGTTAAATAAAAAAAATAATCTTGAAAAAGTATCGATATCAATAAATTAAATTAATTAATTTATTGCTGTCGAATTAAAATGTTATTTCATTTATTTTTTATTTTGTATAAACTTCTACCTATTTAAGGTTTTTTTATGAAAATAAAAATAATAATAAAAGTATTAAAAAAATTCTTTAGACATTTTTTAAATTTTTCTTAAAAAATTACCTATAACTTCTTCTTCTTTGATCTGAAAAACGTTTCTTCAGGGGGGATGGCCTTTAGATTAGTTAAAAAACCTATAACTTTCAGGCACCAAACAAAAGTAATAGCCTTAGATTTAAAAAAAATAAATGTTAAGAGCAGTCATTTTTAACTTATTTATTTTTTAACTTTTTTGTATTTGTTTATTTGTACCTAGATTTCTTAAATTTTTTTGTTAGTAGTTTTTTGAATATTTATATAAACTTTTTTGGACGTTCAACATTATAAACATTGCAATCTTTCTGAACTAATAAATCTATTCTATTCTATACTATTTTTGCAGCTTTTTTTTAGATAATTATCTTTGTTACAGGTTTGAGGTAGTATTTTCTTTTGAAGAGTTTCCATAGAATGTTTTTAAAATTTAA